CATGTGGTAAGAGGTTAAGCAAGGTGGGGTCAAGTGAGGCAATGTAGGACCAGGTAAGGCAAGGTGGGGTCAAGTGAGGCAATGTAGGACCAGGTTAGCCCTGTTAGAGCCAGGGTGGGCAAGGTGGGGCCAAGTGAGGCCATGTAGGACCAGGTTAGGCCTGTTAGAGCTGGGTTGGGCAAGGCAGGCCAAGGAGGGCTAGGTGAGGCCAGGCCATGGAGGGCTAGGTGAAGCCAGGTAGGATCAGGTAGAGATTTATGGGGCCAGGTAGCAGGAAGTCCAGGTAGAAGGAAGTTAAGTCTAGTGGTCCAGGTAGGCCCAGCTGAGGCCAGGTAAGGTCATATGAGGCCAGATGTGGCTGTAGAGGCCCTGGTGAGGACAGCTGAGGCAAGGTGGGGCCAGCTGAGGCCATGTTCTGGTCAAGTGAGGCCAAGTAGAACCAGGTTAGGCAAGGTAATGCCAGGTGAGACCATGAGGGGTCAGGTAAGGCCAAGGTAGGCATGGTGAGGCCAAGTAGGGCAAGATGGGGCCAGGTGACAATGTTCTCCCACCGTTTAGCACATACCTGGTACCACCTGGACTCACCTGATTAGACCACTTTCTTAAAACCCCATCTTACTCTCAACCAGTACACCTGGCCCTACCTGAAGAAGGTGCTTGTGTAGACCATCCTAGTACTTCTAAAGGTCAAATTTTCGTCCCACTCCTTCTTTCCTCTGTCACATCTCTCTGCTTGGCTCTGTCCATCCAGCACCTGTTTATCTTCCTACATTAGGTTTTCTTTTCCTTCATGCCCTTTTAGTCCTTCTTTTCCCATCATCTCTTTCTCCACTGTTTCTTCTCCATCCTTCAGAGAGGTCTTGTCCTAAGAATCTACCACCCATGTGTGTAGAAATAAATCTGTAGAACAACCACACAAACCCAAGGTTATAGTACTACCCACAATGCTCTGCAGTGCTCAGTGCTGTTCCAGTGGAGTTCATCAACGCTCACTAAAGCACTGGTTGACCTCTGACCTCCACAAACATCTCCACATTCATCTTTTACACCAGCAGCTCTCAAACCAGAAACCACCAGAACAAAGACACCACCCTAAAATGACAGTTTTCAGTCACTGAAAGTCAAATTACAGTAAATTAACTTGCACTTTCACACTTTATCAACTGGTATTTCAGTGTATCTGTTCATTTTCCTGAGACGTCTCTTAAGAGGAGACACTGCAGGCAAGACTGATGATTCTGGTTCCGTCAGTCTTTCAGATTCTCAGACAAAGTGCAGCTAAATCATGTCTGATCTTCTAAATCTGAAAAAACTCAGAATTACCTTTTTCAGTATTTTGAATTTATTTATATTTTCCAAGAGCTGCTTTAATAAACTGAAAAACTCGTTTCCTGTAGACTCCAAATATTCAAGTATTCAAATATGTCTATTTCCTTCATATTAATGGCAAAAATCACATTAATGGTGCAGGTTTTCTGGCTTGATCACTCCTGTTTCCTCAGCTCAGTCTCACTGATAGCTCAGTTGAGTTTGATGAACAATGCTAGCGTCTTCAGATGAGTTCTATGACTCTAGATTCCTCACCTCAGTGGAGTTGATTGATGACTCTAGACTCCTCACCTCAGCTGAGTTCATTGATGACTCTAGACTCCTCACCTCAGTGGAGTTGACTGATGAATCTAGACTCCTCACCTTAGCTAAGTTGATTGATGACTCTAGACTTCTCACCTCAGTGGAGTTGATTGATGACTCTAGACTCCTCACCTCAGCTGAGTTGATTGATGACTCTAGACTCCTCACCTCAGTGGAGTTGATTGATGACTCTAGACTCCTCACCTCAGTGGAGTTGACTGATGACTCTAGACTCCTCACCTCAGTGGAGTTGATTGATGACTCTAGACTCCTCACCTCAGTGGAGTTGATTGATGACTCTAGACTCCTCACCTCAGTGGAGTTGATGATGACTCTAGACTCCTCACCTCAGTGGAGTTGATTGATGACTCTAGACTCCTCACCTCAGTGGAGTTGATTGATGACTCTAGACTCCTCACCTCAGTGGAGTTGACTGATGAATCTAGACTCCTCACCTCAGTGGAGTTGATTGATGACTCTAGACTCCTCACCTCAGTGGAGTTGATTGATGACTCTAGACTCCTCACCTCAGTTGATTTGATGACTCTAGATTCCTCACCTCATCTGAGTTGACTGATGAATCTAGACTCCTCACCTTAGCTAAGTTGACTGATGACTCTAGACTCCTCACCTCAGTTGATTTGATGACTCTAGACTCCTCACCTCAGCTGAGTTGACTGATGAATCTAGACTCCTCACCTCATCTGAGTTGATTGATGACTCTAGACTCCTCACCTCAGTGGAGTTGATTGATGACTCTAGACTCCTCACCTTAGCTGAGTTGATTGATGAATTTAGACTCCTCACCTCAGTTGATTTGATGACTCTAGATTCCTCACCTCAGTGGAGTTGACTGATGAATCTAGACTCCTCACCTCAGTTGATTTGATGACTCTAGATTCCTCACCTCAGTGGAGTTGATTGATGACTCTAGACTCCTCACCTCAGTTGATTTGATGACTCTAGATTCCTCACCTCAGCTGAGTTGATTGATGACTTTAGGTTCCTCACCTCAGTGGAGTTGACTGATGACTCTAGACTCCTCACCTTAGCTAAGTTGACTGATGACTCTAGACTCCTCACCTCAGTGGAGTTGATTGATGACTCTAGACTCCTCACCTCAGTGGAGTTGATTGATGACTCTAGACTCCTCACCTCAGTGGAGTTGACTGATGAATCTAGACTCCTCACCTCAGTGGAGTTGATTGATGACTCTAGACTCCTCACCTCAGTGGAGTTGATTGATGACTCTAGACTCCTCACCTCAGTTGATTTGATGACTCTAGATTCTTCACCTCAGTAGAGTTGATTGATGACTCTAGACTCCTCACCTCAGTTGATTTGATGACTCTAGATTCCTCACCTCAGTGGAGTTGATTGATGACTTTAGGTTCCTCACCTCAGTGGAGTTGATTGATGACTCTAGACTCCTCACCTCAGCTGAGTTGATTGATGACTCTAGACTCCTCACCTCAGCTGAGTTGACTGATGAATCTAGACTCCTCACCTCAGCTGAGTTGATTGATGACTCTAGACTCCTCACCTCAGTGGAGTTGATTGATGACTCTAGACTCCTCACCTTAGCTGAGTTGATTGATGAATCTAGACTCCTCACCTCAGTTGATTTGATGACTCTAGATTCCTCACCTCAGTGGAGTTGATTGATGACTCTAGACACCTCACCTCAGTTGATTTGATGACTCTAGATTCCTCACCTCAGCTGAGTTGATTGATGACTTTAGGTTCCTCACCTCAGTGGAGTTGATTGATGACTCTAGACTCCTCACCTCAGTGGAGTTGATTGATGACTCTAGACTCCTCACCTCAGCTGAGTTCATTGATGACTCTAGACTCCTCACCTCAGTGGAGTTGACTGATGAATCTAGACTCCTCACCTTAGCTAAGTTGATTGGAGACTCTAGACTCCTCACCTCATCTGAGTTGATTGATGACTCTAGACTCCTCACCTCAGTGGAGTTGATTGATGACTCTAGACTCCTCACCTCACTGGAGTTGACTGATGACTTTAGGTTCCTCACCTCAGTGGAGTTGACTGATGACTCTAGACTCCTCACCTCACTGGAGTTGACTGATGACTCTAGACTCCTCACCTCAGTGGAGTTGACTGATGACTCTAGACTCCTCACCTCAGTGGAGTTGACTGATGAATCTAGACTCCTCACCTTAGCTAAGTTGACTGATGACTCTAGACTCCTCACCTCAGTGGAGTTGACTGATGACTCTAGACTCCTCACCTTAGCTAAGTTGACTGATGACTCTAGACTCCTCACCTCAGTGGAGTTGATTGATGACTCTAGACTCTTCACCTCAGCTGAGTTGATTGGATTCTGGCCACTGCCAAAGCAGGCAGCTGTATCCCGTTATTGGTGGGAGTCGTTCTGGAAAGGAACCATTGAGCTGAAAGCGTTTGAGAGCTGCTGCTCTGAACTCTCATTAACTCTAATGGCATCGTTATTATCTCCACTCTGTTTGCTCTGTTTGGTTGTCATGATCCTGTGTGTGTCTCATTCTTCAGTGTGTGATGTTCAGTACAGTTCCAGTCAAACTGTGGACGCACCTGTTTATCAAACAGGGGTTCTCTTTGTTTATTACTGTTATTTTCCGTATAACTAAACTGTCTATAACAATGTGTACGGAATCACTCCAGTCAGAAGTACTGACTTTCTGTGAGGTAGAACTGTTCAGACTCCGCCCACACACACCTGAATGGCCCAAACGCATTAACGAGGACAAATCGTCCACTAATTAACAAGCTTCTGCATTTACACACTATTAATTTCAAGTTTTAAATAAAAACACTATTTATTTTTAGTCACAACATCTTTATAAAAAACATTAAATCAGGTGAGTCCACTTTGGACTGGTATTGTACACCTCTCTCTCTGTGTCTCTCTGTCTCTCTCTCTCTATGTCTCTCTCTGTCTGTCTCCCTCTCGCTGTGTCTCTCTGTCTCTCTCTCTCTCTCTCTCTCTCTGTCTCTCCCTGTCTCTCTCTCTCTCTCTCTCTGTCTCTCTCTCTATGTCTCTCTCTGTCTGTCTCTCTCTCGCTGTGTCTCTCTCTCTCTCTCTCTCTCTCTCTCTCTGTCTCTCCCTGTCTCTCTCTCTCTCTCTGTGTCACTGTCTCTCTCTGTCTCTCTCTCTCTCTCTCTGTCTCTCTCTCTCTGTCTCTCTCTCTTTTCTCATTCATTTTGTCCTTGCATGTCCTCTCTGTCCTCTCGTCCTGCGCTCCGCCTCACCCTCCACAGAGAGGAGGAGTGTGAGGATGAGGAGGAGACTCCAGTCACAGAGTCAGATGATGATGATGATGATGATGATGATGAAGAGGGAGGCTCTAAGCCCGTTATTCAGAGTGTTATCAGGTATTCTGCTACTGCAGGATGCTCCTGACCCCCTGCTGTCCCCTCCAGTCTGTCCTGTGGCCTTAACAAAGCTCTAGAATGATTATTGCTCAGGCTGATCAGCTGACAGTTCTAGATTCCTGCACCAACTTAAACCAGCCTGATAACTCCTCACTTCCTCACTTGAGTTTGATGACTAAGTTCTTCATTTGTGTCAATTGAGCTTAATCAACAAATCTAAGTTAAGTTTGATTGACTGTTCTAGATTCCTCAGTTGAGTTTAATTGAAAAATCTATATTTCTCAACTGAGTCGAGTTTGATTGACATCTATAGATTTTTAACTCAAATGAATTTGGACTCTTCAGTTGAGTTTGATTGACTATTTTAGATTCCTCAGTTAAGTTTGACTGATGACTACTCTAGATTCCTCAGCTAAGTTTGATTGACTATTCTAGATTCCTCTGCTAAGTTTAATTGAAAAATCTATATTCCTCAGCTGAAACTGATTGGCTGTTCTAGATTCCTCAGTTGAGTTAAATTGAAAAATCTATATTCCTCAGCTGAGTTTGATTGACTATTCTAGATTTGTCAACTCAGATGAGTTTGATGAATCAAGACTCCTCAGTCGAGTCTGTTTGATGAATCTCGATTCTTTAGTCGAGTTTCTCTATGACTCAACGTTCTAGATATGACCTGAGCTGGTTTAGCTGGTGAGCGTTCTTCTCCAGTCCAATCTGGAGTTGATTACTCTAAAGTCCTTTAGGGTTTCCCATCCATGAGCCAATCACAGTGCACTGTCATCCTTCCCAGCCTCCTCTTCCCTCACTCCTCACTGCACTCATCTCGCTGCAGTGGTAGCGCTACCCACAATGCTGTGCAGCTTTTCTAGAGCTTTCTACAGCACCCCATACTCCCCAAAACGCTGGTCTGGATTTGGAATTCTGCTTTCTGACAATAGAAGTGGGAGGATAGCGCTGCTCTAATGGCTTATAATATTAATAATAATAGTAATAATAATAATAATAGTATTTATGTAGTTATGAAAAGTAATAGTATTTATGTACTTATGAAAGTTTCATCTCAAATATACAAGTATTAAATACAATACTAATAAAATTAGTAAAAATAAAAGGGTAAATTAATATTTAAACCGAATTTAAAGCTTAACTTTTCTGTAAAGTTTTCTAAAAACAGCTAAAACATCCTTCTGTTTATATGTGAGCGCTAACGTGGCTAACAGTGAATGAAAGTGAATGGTATCAGCAAGCTAAACCCTTCCCTCTTCCTCGGGGGTCTTATTCGTCCAGCACGGTCAGTGAGGAAGAGCACGAGGGGAGGAAGAGTGCAGAGGTGTCCAGCGGAGGCGCCGCTGAGCAGCCGTCTTTGTTAGCGTCTCTGCTAGCTCGCCGTAAGTCCTGCGTCAGCGTGCCGTCCTGCTCGGAGGTCACTCCGTCCCGTCCACTGCAGCGGCTCCCGTACCTGCCGCACTCTCCCTTCCACCTGTTCTCCTACGACATGCAGGAAGAGGAGAAGCCAAACCAGAGCAGCGGCGGCAGGTACATGGCTACTGCGGGGAAAACTACAACTCCCATGATTCAGTGCGATGACATGGCACCTCACAGTGGAGCTTTCTTCTGGGACACTGACCTCTTCACCTTCAGCGAGCACTGGGCTGTTTAACCTCCGACCACCTGCAGCACCTAACGCTCCAGTTATAATATATTACTCTTAAAACAACTCGGCACCTCATTAAAATCACTTTTAAAATAAGACACCTTGTTAAAATCATTTTTAAAACATGTTGCTTCATTAAAAAGAAATCACTTTACTAAAATCACTTTCAAAATGAGTGATAAGTGCCTATTTATAAAACAGCTCACTTTATTCACTTCATTATCACTTTTAAAATCATCATTATTGAAAAGATCGATACTAAAATCACTTTTAAAATCACTTTACTAAAACCACTTTTTAAAACAGATTGCTTGATCAAAATCACTTTTAAGACAGGTCACTTTACTTGGAATCAATTTTATACCATTATTTTATCACTTTTAATATCACTGTTAAAATCACCTTTATTGAAAAAATTGATGTCCTGAAATCACTTTACCAAAATCACTTAAACAGATCACTTATTTAAAGCCATTTTTAAAACCGCTTGATTAAAACATACTTAAAACCCTTTTACAATCCTGTAAGATTCTTCTTTTACTAAATCCCTTTAAAATAGGTTGCTTTATTAAACTCATTTAAATAACATCACTTCACTAAAATCTCTCTCTCTCTGTGTCTCAGGTCTTTCTCTGCTGCTCCATCTACACCCACCAAACAGCAGAGTGACAGGTAAACGTCTTTTAGTAAACATTTTACTATTTTTATTTAATAGAGTCATCGTGTTTATTTAAGCTCTGTACAAACTGCCGTGATACAGGAAATGACCCAAGCCAAGTGAGCTCTCCCATTGGTTAAGACAGGGGTGTCCAAAGTCCAGCCCCAGGGCCAAATGCAGCTCTCAGACAGATGTTAATCAGCCAGGCTCAGTTACATCATAATGACTGTTACCAGATTCAGATAAAACAGAGAGAACGGCTTTTACTTCAGATATCTGTTTAATTAGGAACAGACCAACAATGTTCACTGCTATGTTCATTAGCTTAGTGCTAACATACTATTGCAAATCCCATAGGGAAATTGGCATTATCGTGTTTTTTTCAAGTTTGATTGAATTTTTATATTTATCTTTCTGAAGTGGGTTTAAAACTAAACTCTTTATCCCCCCTCTCTCTCTGTCTCTCTCTCCCCTCTCTCTCTCTCTCTCTCTGTCTCTCTCTCCCCTCTCTCTCTCTCTCTCTCTGTCTCTCTCTCTCCCCTCTCTCTCTCTCTCTCTCTCTCTCCCTCTCTCTCTCTCTCTCTCTCTCTCTCTCTCAGGCCTCCTCTGGGTGGTCTTCTCTCGTCCTCGTATCGTCAGCATCAGGAGTCATTGGCAGCGGAGAGAGAGAGGCGCAGGGTCGAGAGAGAGGAGCGACTGCAGAGGATAGAGAGAGAGGAGAGGAACCGACACAGGTTACACAAACTCTTCTGTTATTATTATTATTATTATTATTATTATTATTATTGTCTTATTAAAGGGGGATTCTAACAGAATAACTTGAATCAGTGCTAATAAAATTAAATTACATTTACAAAGTGATAGATTATAGTAATTTCTACTCAATAATTCATATAATATAAGATAATAATAAAGAAACTTAAGGTGTGTTGATAAGATTTAAAGTTTGAGTTGAGATTAATGAAACATCTTATTAATAAAAACATCTGTAATATTTGTAATCACTCTCTGTCTCTCTCTCTCTCTCTCTCTCTCTCTCTCTCTCTCTTCCCCCTCTAGCCGAGAGTATGTGGTGAACATGGAGGAGGCACGACTGGCACGAGAGGAGAGGTCAGTAGAGTTGTACAGAGTTGAATAGAGTTGTGTCCTCTAGTGCAGAGTAGTGTAGTTATATAGAGTTGAATGAAGTTGTATCTTATAGTGCAGAGTAGTCAAGAGTTGTATAGAGTTGAATGGAATTATGTCCTGTAGTGTCCTGTAGTGGAGTTGTCCTGTAGCCTAGAGTAGTCTAGAGTTGTATAGATTTAAATGAAGTTGTGTCCTGTAGTCTAAAGTAGTGTAGAGTTGTGTAGAGTTGAATTAAGTTGTGTCCTGTAGTGCACAGGTGTGTCCTGTAGTCTGGAGTGGTGTAGAATTTTGTCCTGTAGTCTAGAGTAGTGTAGAGTTGTATAGAAATGAATGGAGTTGTGTCCTGTGGTCTAGACTAGTGTAGAGTTATGTTCTGTAGTCTAGAGTAGAGTAGAGTTGTATAGAGTTAAATGGAGTTGTGTCCTGTAGTGCAGGGTTGTGTCCGGTAGTCTAGAGTAGTGTAGAGTTGTATAGAGTTAAATGAAGTTGTGTCCTGTAGTCTAGAGTAGTGTAGAGTTGTGTGCTGTAGTCTATGGTAGTGTAGAGTTGCACAGAGGTGAATGGACTTGTGTCTTGTAGTCTAGAGTAGTGTAGAGATGCGTCCTGTAGTCTAGATTAGTGTAGAGTTATATAGAGTTGAAAGGGAGTTGTATCCTGTAGTCTAGTGTAGAAATGTGTCCTGTAGTCTAGATTAGTGAAGAGTTGCGTCCAGCAGTCTAGAGTAGTGTAGAGTTGAATGGAGTTGTGTCCTGTAGTGCAGGGTTGTGTCCGGTAGTCTAGAGTAGTGTAGAGTAGTGTAGAATTGTGTGCTGTAGTCTAGATTAGTGTAGAGTTATATAGAGTTGAAAGGGAGTTGTATCCTGTAGTCTAGAATAGTGTTGAAATGTGTCCTGTAGTCTAGATTAGTGAAGAGTTGTGTCCAGTAGTCTAGAGTAGTGTAGAGTTGCATAGAGTTAAATGGAGTTGTGTCCTGTAGTGCAGGGTTGTGTCCGGTAGTCTAGAGTAGTGTAGAGTTGTATAGAGTTAAATGAAGTTGTGTCCTGTAGTCTAGAGTAGTGTAGAGATGTGTCCTGTAGTCTAGATTAGTGTAGAGTTGTGTCCAGTAGTCTAGAGTAGAGTAGAGTTGCACAGAGTTGAATGGAGTTATGTCTAGAGTAGTGTAGAATGGTATCATGTAGTCTAGAGTAGTGTAGAGTTGTATAGGATTAAATGAGATTGTGTCCTGTAGTCTAGAGTAGTGCAGTTGTGTCCTGTAGTCTGTAGTGTATGGTTTTATAGAGTTGAATGGAGTAGTGTCCTGTAGTCTAGAGTAGTGTAGAGTTATATAGAGTAAAATGAAGTTGTGTCCTGCAGTGTAGAGTAGTGCAGAGTTTTTGTCCTGTAGTCTGTAGTATGGTTTTATAGAGTTGAATGGAGTTGTGTCCTGTATTGCAAAATAGTGTAGAGTGGTATAGAGTTGAATGAAGTTGTGTCCTATAGTCTAGAGTAGTATAGAGTTGAATGAAGTTGTGTCCTGTAGTGTAGAGGTGTGTCCTGTAGTGTAGAGTAGTGGAGTTGTGTCCTGTAGTCTAGAGTAATGTAGAGTTGTATAGAGTTGAATGAAGTTGTGTTCTATAGTCTAGAGTAGTGTAAAGTTGTGTCCTGTAGTCTAGAGTAATGTAGAGTAGTGTAGAGTTGAATGAAGTTGTCCTGTAGTGTAGAGGTGTGTCCTGTAGTGTAGAGCAGTGTAGAGTTGTGTCCTGTACTCTAGAGTAATGTAGAGTAGTATAGAGTTGAATGAAGTTGTGTCCTGTAGTGTAGAGTTGTGTCCTGTAGTGTAGAGTAGTGTAGAGTTGTGTCCTGTAGTCTAAAGTAATGTAGAGTAGTATAGAGTTGAATGAAGTTGTGTCCTGTAGTCTAGAGTAATGTGGAGTAGTATAGAGTTGAATGAAGTTGTGTCCTGTAGTGTAGAGGTGTGTCCTGTAGTGTAGAGAAGTGTAGAGTTGTGTTCTGTAGTCTAGAGTAGTGTAGAGTTGAATGAAGTTGTGTCCTGTAGTGTAGAGAAGTGTAGAGTTGTGTCCTGTAGTGTAGAGTAGTGTAGAGTTGAATGAAGTTGTGTCCTGTAGTGTAGAGAAGTGTAGAGTTGTGTCCTGTAGTCTAGAGTAGTGTAGAGTTGTATAGAGTTGAATGAAGTTGTGTCCTGTAGTGTAGAGTTGTATAGAGTTGAATGAAGTTGTGTCCTGTAGTGTAGAGTTGTATAGAGTTGAATGAAGTTGTGTCCTGTAGTGTAGAGTAGTGTAGAGTTGTATAGAGTTGAATGAAGTTGTGTCCTGTTGTATAGAGTAGTGTAGAGTTGTATAGAGTTGAATGAAGTTGTGTCCTGTTGTGTAGAGTAGTGTAGAGTATATTTTTGTAGTTCTGTAATGTTGTATAGAACATTGTATTGTTATAGTTATATACAGTTCCGTTGTGTAGTGTACAGTATTGTATTGTATAGAGTTGACTTGTGTCCTGTATTGTAGTGCATTGTGTTGTGTAAGTGTTTGTAGAGTTGTATAAATTTATATAGGGTTGTGTTGTATAGAGTGGTGTGTAGAGTTGTGTTGTGTAGAGTTGGGTAGGGTGGTGCTGTGTAGAGTTGTACAGATTGTTACAGTCATGTAGAGTTGCTGTGGTGCTGTGTAGAGTTGTGTGGTGTTGTACAGATTGTTACAGTCGTGTTGTTCAGAGCTGTGGTGTCTTGTCTTGGTATGTAGTATTGTGTTTCATAGAGTTGTGTTATACAGAGTTGTGTTGTCTAGAGTATGTAATGGTGTTGTATAGAGTTGTGTAGAGTTGAGTAGTTGTGCTGCACAGTTGTTGTGCATAGTTGTGTAGTTGTGTTGTATAGAGTTGTGTAGAGTTAAGTAGTTGTGCTTTATAGAGTTGTTCTGTAAAGTTGTGTTGTAGAGTTGTGTAGAGTTGTGCTGCACAATTGTTGTGTAGTTGTGTAGTTGTGTTGTATAGAGTTGTTGTGTAGAGTTGTGTAGTTGTGCTGTGTAGAGTTGTGTAGTTGTGTGTCATAGAGTTGGGTAGAGTTGTGTAGTTGTGTTGTACAGAGTTGTGTAGTTGTGTTGTACAGAGTTGTGTAGTTGTGTAGTTGTGTTGTACAGAGTTGTTGTGTAGAGTTGTGTAGTTGTGTTGTATAGAGTTGTGTAGTTGTGTTGTACAGAGTTGTGTAGTTGTGTTTTATAGAGTTTTGTAGAGAGTTGAGTAGTTGTGCTTTATAGAGTTGTTGTGTAGAGTTGTGTTGTAGAGTTGTGTAGAGTTGTGTAGTTGTGTTGTACAGAGTTGGGTAGAGTTGTGTAGTTGTGCTGTACAGAGTTGTATAAAGTTGTGTAGTTGTGTTGTACAGAGTTGTGTAGTTGTGTAGTTGTGTTGTACGGAGTTGTATAAAGTTGTGTAGTTGTGTTGTACAGAGTTGTGTAGTTGTGTTGTACGGAGTTGTATAAAGTTGTGTAGTTGTGTTGTACAGAGTTGTGTAGTTGTGTTGTACAGAGTTGTGTAGTTGTGTAGTTGTGTTGTACAGAGTTGGGTAGAGTTGTGTAGTTGTGTTGTACAGAGTTGTGTAGTTGTGTTGTACAGAGTTGTGTAGTTGTGTAGTTGTGTTGTACAGAGTTGTTGTGTAGAGTTGTGTAGAGCTGTATTTTAGACATTTAGTCAGGTCTGAGCCACACAGCCTTGTTTTTAGAGAGAGAGAGAGGGAGGGAGGGGCAGGGACAGCATGGGCATGAGAGAAAGAGAGAGGGAGAGATAGAGAGGGAGGGGGGAGAGAGAGATGGGGAGTAGGGGGGGGAGAGAGAGGGAGTAGCGGAGAGAGAGAGGGAGAGAGAGAGAAAGATAAAGGATGAGAAAGAGAGAGAGAGAGAGATAACGGACGAGAAAGAGAGTAAGCAAACTTGTTTTTTTTTTACACGTCCCTCCCCTCACTATGTTTTTTCTTTTATTTCCTCTCCTCTTCCTCTCCCCTCCTCTCTCACTTTCACTCTCTCTCTCTCTCTCTTTCTCTCACTCCCCTCTTCCCTCTCTCTCTCTCTCCCCTCCTCTCTCTCTCTCTCTCTCTCTCTCCCAGGTTTAAGACAGTGGAGAGGTTGGCTGCGGAGGAGTACGAGCGAGATCGTGTTCGTTTGGCTCCTCGTTCTCTCACTCCGACTGACACCTATCAGTCAACTGACGATGACACGCCCACATCGGTGACATCACAGGACGACCAGGACACAATCGTTACGTCTTCACACCTGCCCTGCGAGCCAGGTGAGCCTTTATCATCATCACATGAAAAACTGATCGAACCCTAAACATTTAAAATTCAGTAAATCTGAAATATTTTAAATGGAGTGAGTGACAAAAAATCTCATACGGACTGAAATGTAAACATTTTGACACAAATGTGATACTTTAGACGGGTTGAAATTAGAATATTTGAAACAGACTAAAGTTGAAACATTTGAAAATGCTTGAAATTGAAATATTTTAGATTGACTGAAATTTAGACATTTGAAACTGTTTGAAACTGAAGAATTTAAAATAGGTTGGAACTGAAATATTTTAAATTCTTACAAATTGAAATTTTTGAATCTCATTGATTTTTTTTCATTTGAAACATTTGCTAATTAAAATATTGGAAATGAATTGAAATTGAAATATTTGAAACACTTGAAATTGATATATTTGAAATTGATTAAACCTGAAATTGAAAAATTGAAATTGGCATTTGAAACTGGTTGTAACTGAAATATTTTAAATGGAACTGTAAAAGGAGACACTGGAGACTAGACAAAATATACCCCCCACACCCATGGCCACTTTATCGGAAACCCTTCTGTTGAGGCTCCACGTTGCTGGTGATGCAGTTTGTGCTATCAGACCTGTGGAACCTCATCAGTGGTCAGTTTCTGACGTCCGAATCTTTTACAGTGTCTGTATGTTTTTGGGTGGTGGCCCGTCCACTCTCAGTGCAGCAGTCAGGGGTTTCTAATAAAGTGGCCGGTGTGTGTGCAGCTTGTTTTTGCCGAGTGTTTATTCATGAGGGGGGTGTTTGTGGAGCCAGTGAGGGGCTTCTGTTCAGGTGTGTGTGAGAGTGGTTATTAGGATCTGCAGTAAAAACAGATCTGCAGCTCCGAGCTGCTGTTTAAACCAGAGAGAGACGTCCTCATTCACTGAACCTCCACTCTAAACAGCCTTTAAAAACAACTCATTAAAGCGCAAAATTACCCAGAATCCTCAGCAGCTAACGCTACTCTCAGCTGTGTGAGTGTTCAGTGTTCAGTGAGTCACTCTTCTCCTTTATTCCAGCTTCCGTTCTGTTCAGGAGACTCACTTTCAGCTCCTCAAAGAATCTGCAGACACACCTCCAAAGTTCAGTCGTAGAAGCTGGTTGATGATTTTCTGAAGTAATCAAACACATTCAGTGGTGTTGAGGTCTGGACTCTGGGGTGGTCAGTCCATCGTTCAGCTTCTTTGTTTGATGTGTCCGTCTCCTTTTCTCAGTGAGGTTCTTCTTGATCAGCTACACATCCTTTCAGACCCACAGCGCTGAGTCGTCTTCTCACAGTGGAAGGATGGACAGAAACACCTGTGGATGTTTTCAGATCTGATCAGCTTGATTTTCTCCTCTCTCTCAGAGATGAAAGCTTTAAGTGCTGTTTATCTGATGGGGCAGTTTTGGGGTCGACCAGCTCTTCCAGGTGGTTGTTAGGAGACACATTTTCTCTGGAGCTTTTAATCAGTTTTTGAACTCCAGTTTCGGAAACTCCTTTTTTTCCACTTATTTTCATGGAACCTATGTGAGTGGATTATCTTATATTTAATCTCCTCACAAATATCTCCTAAAATGAATAATTTCTATTTCTAATGGCTGTTTTGACTGGAGATTTAATGAATGAAAGGTGGTCTCTGACTTTTGCCCAGTACTGTACACTGTACTCTAGAGGCTCTCTGTAAGTCCCACTGAAAGACCCTCTGTAGCTCCAGAGTTCACACTCTTAGGGAGGGGAAGGGAGGGGAGTGTGTGGCCGAACTTGGACAGGAAACAGAGGATTAGGACTGTTAGTGTGAACCCACACACAATCTAAACCCACCCAGTGTAGCTTAGATATATATATACAGTTACGCACAGAAGTCAGAGACCCCTCTTCATTTACTTCACTTCCAGTCAAAGCAGCCTTTAATTACAAGTTATTGATTTATCAGGACATATTTCTGACAAGATTATCTATAAGATAACCAGCTTGCATAAGAATAGAGTAATCAAAGTTTTCAAAACTGGAGTTCAAAAGCTACAGAGAAGATGTAACAACCACCTGGAAGACCTGGTAGACCCCAAAACTGCCCCCATCAGATAAACAGCACTTGAATCTTTCATCTTTGAGAGAGAGGAGAAAGGTGTTTCTCCTTTTGTTGCTTGGTTCCTCTCAGTTCATCTTCATTTTTTTTAAATAGGAGATTGTGTTTGTCTGTGTGTTGAACTCTGAATTACATGGTTCTTTTACCATAACTCCTAAATCCTATCCATCTCAAACCAGACTCCCGGGCCAGTCCAGAACCAGAGCAGAAAGAAGAAGAACCCACAGAACAGGAAGAAGAAGCAGAACAAGAAGAGGAAGTGGAGGAGACCAGTGCTGAAAAGGAAGAAGGTGGGTCAGAAGCAGGGGAGGGGCTAGTGGAAGAAGAGGAGGAGCGAGAGCAGGAAGCCCCAGATGCAGAGGCGGAGGACAGTGGGATCCTGAGCGATAAAGAACGACAGAATGAAGAAGTGAATGAGAAGGACAACTGTTCAGCCTCCAGCATTTCCTCATCCAGCAGCACTCTGGAGAGAGAGGAGAGAGCACACGGCAACGGAGCAGAGACAGGTGAGAGGAGGAAAATAAGATGAGTGAGGAAGAGGAGACAATGGAGGTGGAGGAGACAGGTGAGAGAGAAGACAGGTGAGGGAGGAGAGACAGTGGAGGTGGAGGAGACAGGTGAAGAGACAAAAGAAGAGACGGGTGGCAAACAGGTAAGGGAGGTGAAGAAATGGAATGGGAGTCAGGCGAAGGAAGGGGACAGGTGAGACAGATTATGGAATGGGAGACAAGTGAGGAAGAAAAACAGATGTGGGATGGGACAGGTGAGAAAGAAAGACAGATGAGTAATAGGAGGGAGGGGACAGGTGAAACAGATGAGGAATAGCAGACAAGTGAGGAAGAGGACAGGTGAAACAGATGAGAGATGGGGAGACAGGTAAGACAGATGAGGGATTGGAGACAGATGAGGGAGGAGGACAGGTGAAGCAGATGAGGGATGGGAGACAGTTGAGGGAGGGGGACAGGCGAGACAGATGAGGGATGAGAGACAGGTGAAAAAGAGGGACAGGTGAAATAGATGAGGGATGGGAGACAGGTGTTTTTCTTAAGTGGACATTGTGGTGACGAAGGGTCCCTGTTCCTGCAGGTCCGAGCGGTCAGGAGGGCAGCGCTAGTGAGCAATGCAGCGAGATCTTGAACAGCAAACTGTTCATGCTGGACATGCTCTACTCGCAGGGAAGTAAGCAACGCTCTCAGGAGGAGGAAGAAGAGGCAGAGGAAGAGGCAGAGACTGAGAAAGAGAAAGAGGGTGAAAGAACCGTGGAGGAGGCAGGAGGAGAAGAAGAAGAAGAGAAGAAGAAGCTTGAGGGCGGGATGGTCCGAGCTTTTGCAGAACGTTTCGGAGACCTGGTCAAAGGTCTAAGCTCTCCGCCAATAGGAGAGCAGGAAAGTCCAGAGAAACAGCAGCAGCCTCCACAGGCTCCGCCCCCTCCAAAGAAGGAGTCGGACTACATCTGGGACCAGCTGATGGCGAGCCCTCGCGAGCTCCGTATCGGGGATATTGACTTTACCGATTTGGTTGACGAGGACGATCAGGATGTCCTGGACTCTGGAGATTTGATAGGAAACTCAAATCTGCCCCCACCCCCTCCACCCCCTCCATGCCCCTTCAATTTGCCCCCTCCCCCTCCCCCACTGGCCACCGGGGTCAGGCCCCCTCCTCCCCCACCCTTTTTCTCTGCCCCTACACCCCCTTCGCCCCAGCTGGGCTGTCCGGAGCCACCGCTCTTCCAGAAGAAGAAGAAGACAATCCGTTTGTTCTGGAGTGAAGTCCGGCCGGCGGAGTGGCAGTTCCTGGGCCATAAGAGGGGCCACCTGTCAATGTGGTCCAAACTGGAGCCTGTAAAACTGGACACGGCCAAACTGGAACACCTGTTCGAGAGCAAGTCTAAAGAGGTGCCCGCAGCCAAGGTAACAATCTCTCCCTTTAACCTTACCGGAAAATCAAATACCTGTGGTGGACAATCTTCCCTGAAGCAAATCTATAATATTAACAGTGTCTTGGCAGAAAATTAGACTTTTCTGCCGAACCACCACCTCTGCAGTCTCTGCCAGGCCATAATCCTCCTAAACAAATCTACAATTTCTTGTCCATTTTGTAAAAGATTGTTTTTAGCTATCGTGGTATCGCCATATACACCAGGGTAGCCGGCAGGTCACTTCTAGCCCTACACAGTCCGTTCACGGTGGACACTACAGACCCAGCTTCCACCTCATAGCACAGCACAACAAGGCACATGCAGCATTGCTGCACCTCTTAAACTTAACATCAGCAACTAATTTACACATTTAAGTCTCTCTCATCGCTGTGGTATCCAGGGTGCTCCGTGCTCGCCGCTCTGCATGGCCACGCCTCCTGTGCGTCCAAAGCCGAACAAGCCCGTAGCGGGATGCTACAGTATATTTTACTGGAGATAAATTTTTGATGAGAAAAAAAAATTGAGAAGAACTTATTACTGTGGCAATTCATAAAATTGCCAGCAACACAATTACTTTCTTTTTTTTTGGGATTTTTCCCCATTTAGTCATATCCAATTCCAACCCCTGGTTAGGACTCCCCCAATTACACGATACCACAAGTGAACAGTTGTTTACAAAACTGGTCACTGGCTTTATTACCTAAACAACAGACTCTAAATAAAGGCCATTCTGTCATTAAAGACCTTTCAAATGTCCTCCACTCTGCCTGAGTTGTTGGTCCACCCTTATCGCTGCCCTAGACGTTGGTCTGTCCGTTTATGAAGATGTCTGTCTTTAGATGTCTGTAGATGTCTGTGTATTATGTTTGCATGTCCAGTTATGAATAGCCTCTCAGGGAAAAATAAAGTTCATTCAATGCAATTCAATTCCTATTCTACTACTTGCTAAAATGTCTGAGAAGAACTTAAACTGGTGATTTTGTGACTGTTTTAACTTTAGGAGCCTCTTTCTTTTTCCAGAATAGCAGTAGCAGATTTGGCCTTATTTTAGCTGTGAGGAGGGTGGAGGATAACAGCAACAGCTGCTGGGGGTCCCTTAAGTGTGAATGTGGCTCTGACAGTCCAAAGATTATTAAGAGAGGATCCGGTTTTACAACCACATTCAACAATGTTGAAAGAACTTCAAAGCAGCCCAACCCAGAAAGCTTGCAGAAAAGGCCAAAGAGCAGAACTGTGGGAAAGAGATGTTTCTGCTGAGTCACATTTATCACAGATTGGAGAAACACTTGCATAAAGTGTTCTTTTGTGTAATATTAACTATTAGGCCTGTACGATATGGACATAAAATATGACGTTCGATAAGCCTATTGGATATGGTGATGACTATATCAGAAGCGATGAATTGAAATAAAGCGGCTCTGACAAGTAGAGACTTTTTTGAATGTGTAAACAGAAATCTAACTAACCTTTTCTTTAAGCAAATATTAAATTCAAATACAAAATCACAAAAGCAAAATAAAAGCAAAAAAAAAAAAGAAATGAACATAAAAGCAAAATAAAAAGAAATGAACATAAAAGCAAAATTAAAAGAAATGAACATAATAACAGCATATGATAACAGCTACATCAGAACTGAGAGCACATTATTTGTGCACTGGAAGAGAAACAGTGGCGACAGCTTTTTCTGCAAAGGCTACACAAACAAATAAATCCATATTAATTTAGATTTTTGATCACGCACTTAAAACAATACTGAGTGCGAGAACAATCCTAATGTTTGACGTGTTTTAATAGGCATGTAGTTTAGTAGATGGAGTAGCTTCTAAACTGTGTGTGTTTTATAATTGGCTGTTTAGCCTAATGGGTAAGTTACTCATCTCCTGCTGGGAGTGAAGAGTTCTGTCCCAGCTCAGAGAAGTGCTCATTAGGCTTCTTACCGTTTGTGTCAGTAATGAAATGATGTCTCTTTGGCGCTGCATGTATAAAATAATTTGATCTGCCGCTTTTATGATATGTTTATCCCAAAAACAAATATTGCACTTATGATAAAAATACCATGGCAGCCACAGGGTGCACTGTGTCTCAGGAATGTAGAAGCTTTGCTATGCAAAATGCCATTCAAGGTGGGATGTGCACCCCAATGAAAAGGGATGGTTTATGTTGTTTCATGCTGTATGGCTTTGTTCACACAGCAGGTAAAAGTGACCCATGTGTGACACAGATGTGTGTCTGTGTGTCAGTGTGAACAGATAAACACGCTGAATCTGACATTTTCAGTTCCGATTTGAGACGCTTTCATATGTTGTACTGAAATCCGATACGTATCATGCGCCTTTTATGTCAATCCAACTCGACATTCATCATAATTTTGTGCTGCTGAGACACAGAAACATTTAGACTGATGTTTCTGTATCAAAGAATTAGAAGACACTTCTCAAAAACCCTCCGTGTTCGAAGAGGTTTTGAAAGAAATGGCCGAACACAGCCGTAGGAGAACGAGGCTGCAGCATCAAGGAAAAGCAAAGTTTAATCATGATGGCTAGGAGTGACCTGCCTCTCGTTTCAGTTGCTTTGGAAGAGGCCTTGTCCATTTAATAAAGAGCCTTTTCGAGCCTGACTCTTCTTCAGATTGACGCCACAATACAATTTATCATACAGCCCTGTTATCTGTGTATAACCTCGCACCTTGACAGAGGTGGCCATTTATTGAATGTGCGTGAATCTTTACCAGACAGAGATTTCTGTACCTCACTCCTCCTCCCGCAGTAACCAAGTACTGTTTGTAGAGGGCGAGTAGGTAACAAACCATAAAGGGACGATGTTAAGTGCCTAACATTGATATCCGACTTGATCCAGTCATCTGTAGCAAGAGGACTGGCATTTTCATAGTTGGGTACATATCTCCTAAAAACCTAAAAACAACCCTAGAAAGGTGGAAATATGCCCTAAACTGATCAAATGAACCTGGGAGCCCATTTAAATAAAGATCAGCTATGGTCCTAATGCCATAAACCCTCCACCGATTAAGGGCTCCATCCAGTCTAGAGGGCTTAAATAAAGGGTTCCAAGCTATGAACAAAAGAAATGATGCATTTGAAAGAAGATTCTGATTCAGATTGTGAAAAATATTCAGCCAATCAGATGTTTCCACACGTTTGGCTGTTGCTGTATATATCGAGGATCCGGATTGTGTTTATCCATCACGGATCCCGTCTGACTCGTACAGCTCAGGCTACAAACTGCACAGGAAGCTGCTGCGTGCTCCGAGCTCTAATGGCTTCCATCCCGCCGGCTTTCAACTTGAACATCTGGACAGATGTTCCGTCACACCTGCCGGCCACATTCCTTTGATGCGGCTGGACGGCCCGGATTTCTGCTCGCTAATGCTCAGATGAGCTCTCGGACAAATGACAGCGCTATTCAGGAAACGCTCACTCGTTATTTTCCCAAAACCTGTTTGCTCACTCACACATTCTTCATGCTCAGACTGATTTTGCCTAATACGGTGGGTCATGTAGAGCAACAGCCGCCTCAGGATCCACGTCACAGCTGCGTTTGGAGGCTGGAAATGTTTCCATTCACTTTGTATTTACACTCAGCTTACGATTACAGATAAGACAGCTGTGTTGTGGTGGACTGGTATTCTGAACTACTTCTTTCTGAACTACTATTTCTTTCTGCCAGTCAAAAAGAAATAGTGAGATGCACATACAGTCTATACCCAAAAGTTTGTGGACACCTGCTCATCCAGCAACAACAAAGTTGTTTATAGGGAGTTTGTCCACCTTTGCTGCAGTAACAACCTCTACTCTTTACACTAGAAGGTTTTACACTAGATGCTGGAACATTGCTCTGAGGATTTAATAACTCTTCCCAAAGGTACTGGATGGAGATCCATCACTCCAGAGAACACAGTTCCACTGCTCCACAGCCCAATGCTGGGGGGCTTTATACCCCTCTAGCCCATGCTGGGCACCATGTGCAATTGAACTTCACTTAGATCGTCTAAATAAAACTTTATGAAAGTGAGGAGGTCAGCAAAGCTAAAGTAAGACCAACCGAACACTGTTAATCACTCCTAGTGTCCATGAGAGTTCACCCTCATTTTTGTGTGAGCAACGCGTTTGAGCGATTCTTTTTTTGACCACTACTGTACATTGTAATTTTTGTGTCCAGTACTGATGCTGAAATGTTTAAGTGGTGTTCTTTATATTTGGCAGAAAACAGCAGCAGATGGTAAGAGGCAAGAGATCATTGTCCTGGACTCCAAACGCAGCAACGCTATCAACATCGGCCTGACCGTCCTCCCACCACCACGCACCATCAAATCCGCCATCCTCAACTTCGACGAGTATGCGCTCAACAAGGAGGGAATAGAGGTGAAAGGACTGATGAGAGTGCTGATACTAATGTTTATGGCATGAAAGTAATATAAACATTCTCTGTCCACTTCATTAGAACCCCCAACCTTGAGTGATATGTTTGGTGTATGCAGGGAGCCACTATAGACACAGCAACAGCCTGTAAAAAACACAGCAACTGTACCTGATACATTTTCTCCAGTCAGTGCCATATAGTACCATGTCGGTGCCATTGCTGTGCTCAGAATGATCCACCAAGCAAATCATTTTTGGATAATACCTGGTCAACAGTGGTCATTTGGTCAGAAGGTGACCACTGATGAAGAGCTACAGAGAATGATTAACACAAACAGTACATCAACAAACAGGCTACTGTCCAAGCAAGCTAGAGCTACAAGGGTTTCCGATAATGTGGACGTGCTGAAGTTTTTCATTAAATGCTGTTTGGATTTTCTAAATTGAGCTTTTCAGACTGTTGTTTATTTCCTGCCGCCTCTGTGTTTGTTTTTAGCAAGGATTTTTCTCTCTCTCCACTCTAGAAAATTCTAACGATGATTCCTACAGAGGAGGAGAAGCAGAAGATTCAGGAAGCTCAGCTGGCCAATCCAGATATACCTCTGGGCAGCGCTGAGCAGTTCCTCCTCACGCTGTCCTCCATCAGCGAACTGTCCGCCCGCCTGCAGCTCTGGGCCTTCAAACTGGACTATGAGGCCACTGAGAAGGTAAGCGTGTACAACGCTGGGGTGTCAAGTAGGACTACAAGACCAAGCAGTCTTTATGTGTAATGTGTCACAACTTGAGGCATCCAAATCTGGAGGTTACCCTAAATGTTGAGATACAAGCTCCAAGTACTGTCCACAAGGAGAACATTCATAGCTGTTTATGTAGTTTGGTTAATATGACAAAATAAGAGCCCTTGGAAAACCTGTCTACCATGATTCCAGGGTTACCCTGGACAGAGGTAGCTTTGACAAAATCCCTATAAATGTAATACCAAGGATAAAAAAAGGGTATAGGTAGAAAGCGTGGAGGTCCTTGTGAGTCTTTGTCCTGGGTGCTGGTCACTCTTAACGTTAAACCACCTAAAAAGGCTTTTTTCGGCACTCCTGGATGTTTCACTGCTAACAGCTCTCTGTTACTGAAGCAGTACATTCACTCTCATTGGCTGAGGCAGTAAAAAGGGTGCAAACTTCATCAGAGCAATTAGGAGGATAGCAATGGCGTTGTGATTGAACCTCCTGTACACTTTGACAAAACCCAAGAAGCATTGTACCTCCATGATGGAGGTGGGCAGTGGATATTCTCCACCCACCAAGAGTTGTTCTGTGGGCACCTAAAATTGCCCTTTTCTAATTTGACGTACTTATGTCCTGCTGATGGATAAGCACCTGTAGGAGCATGCCAGACATTTTCCTGGTTGGTCATGGAAAAGCAGACTAATATGAAGCAGTTTAGGGTCTTCCACAGGACGAAATTCATGACTGCCTGAAAGACAACCGGAGCATTAGTCAATACTAAGAGCATGACTGTCTACTCAGAGTAGTCAGTAGTGAATGCGGCCCCCAACTCTTCGTTTTACTGAAAGCAGACAAGTGGAGAGTTAAAAGCTAATGTGGGTTACCCTGGGATAAGCTGAAACTCTGGGGAATGAGCAAGGTGGAGTTGAATGGTTTCCTGGTGCTCTTTACCTGAAGGAGCCAGGGAGCAGTAAGGTTGCCTGAGCCGTACCAGGGTGTCTACTATCTAGGTCAATGATAGTGGGCTATCTATGCAGGTAGAAGAACCTGTCTGGCTAGACTGAAGTCAATGAAATTACTCACAGCAGTCCACAAAGGCCTGGAGACGGTGCTGTTGGTTTTCTTAAAAGAACTGGACCCTGGAGATGGGGCAGTTGGCAGATGGAGATCTTATTAGAAGCGTCCTGATTCTAGGTGAGATGTTTCCCAACAGTTAAGGGAATGTAGAATGGAAAAGGCTGGGGTTTCTACAGCCCTCATCTTCCAGCTCCGTTCCTCTTGATGTAGCTGGTCCCAGTCGCTAAATGTAGTTTTTGTGTATCACCCACTATTACTGAAGACTGCATCTAAACTTGTTATTGTTAACAAAATCCACCACCGAGAAACTGGACTCAGTCCAGTAAGTCACGTTCACGTTTTCTCTGTCTCACTCTCTCTATGGGCTTACTACAGGAAGGTCTTCTTTCTTTGATTTCCCATGACCCTGTGGGATGCACATGTGCCTGCTCATCCATAGTCCTCTTCTCCTGTATCTCACTATATCCAACTCCCCAGCTGATTGTTTAAAGGCAGGTTCTAGATCCAGGATTCTGGATTTAACTGCCGCTCCACAGATTCTGTTATGCAATTGATTCATTCCTTTTCATTTGGCAGGAAGTGGCGGAGCCTCTGCAGGACCTGAAAGAGGGCATGGAGCAGCTGGAGAAGAATAAGACGCTCCGCTATGTCCTGTCAACCCTGCTGGCTATCGGCAACTTCCTCAACGGGTCGAACGTGAGCGCTACACAGGCCCACAGGCATAAACATTTTGGTGTGCTGAAGAATCGTGATCCCTTTATTCTCACCAATATGTGATGCGTGAATGTGTTTTGCAGGCTAAAGGTTTTGATCTGAGTTACCTGGAGAAGGTTCCAGAGGTGAAGGATACGGTTCATAAACAGTCACTGCTGCACCACGCCTGTTCTACTGTAGTGGAGAACTTCCCCGAAAGCACAGACCTGTACTCAGAGATAGGAGCTGTTACACGCTCTGCTAAAGTGAGTTCACACAGACACTCTCTCACACTGCAGATCTGCAGTGTAGCGGTTAAAGGAGCCTTTTCAAATAGTTTTAATGGGAGTCACGAATTCTGCTGTATCTGTGCTTAAACAACTTGTTGCAGTTAAGTAGCCTGTGTTCACATTAGCAGCCGAAAGAGCAACAGGCAAGCGGTCATTTTCCAATGAAGGAGGCGATTTGAGCGGTGACTTAGCGACAGGGAACAAGCGTCATGGTAACGAGTGACCGCTGAAGTTGAGATTTTCACAACTTCATCTAAAAGAGATGGAGGGCCAGTGTCCAGCACAGCTTGGGCCTAAACATACCCACTAAGCCTGCCTATTAACAGATGAGTGTAATCAGGTGTGTTTGAGCAGGTAAAACACCAAACTGTGCTGGACACTGGCACTACAGGCCTGGAGCTGACCAGAGCACCCCTGATCTAAATGATTGGATCCAAAAAAATCCTCAAACCAGTTTTAGACATGGAGGTCCATGGTGCCCAGACTCTGCTCTCTGAACTTTTTGTTTCTATGGGAAAAAATATTATTGAGCAAAAGTTGATGAGGAACATGTAAACGTGTCACCTTATACTGCAGTTCTACACAGCAAATTGCGAAGGCAGGCAGTGCCTTCAACATGTGGTGGTAGTGTGAGGGAAGACTGATTGAGGTAGGAGGGAGAACTCTGAGAACTTGGGCTGGACTTCTGGGTGGCTTCTCCTTGGAGCTAAAAGGCCAGAGCCCCCCTTTTTAACCCCTTAAAATCACGGCCTTATTACGTACTAAGGCTTATTAAGGACTTCAGTGCAAACTGACTGGATAGTCCACTTTAGATACTGTGTAGATACTTAATTTACTTTCAAATTACATTCAACAAAATATCTACTAAATTGACCACAATTGTCTTTAACTCTAAACCTGCTCTAATCCTAACCCTAACTTTAACCTCAACCCAAGACCTAAACCCAACACTCACCCTGGTCCAAATCCTAACCCCAACCCCACCACTGTTTAGAATCAGTTTCAACAAAGGGTTTGTTAACAATTTGAACATCTGGAGATAATCTATAGGGACTGTAGTGGACTATCCAACTAAAGTGAGACCACCTTAAGTTATAAAGTGTATAAGAGTGTATTGAAACTTTGCGCCTGCCGGTTCGCCCAGACCATTTAAGGGATTAACAGTCGTAGGACTGACATGGGACTGAGGACTGAGGGAGGGGATGGGGTGGTGGTAGGGATTGCGAAAACGTGGTCTATGGGAAGCAGAAGGTAGGGATGGGAATTTATAGGGCATGAGATTGGAAGGAGGAGGGGATCTGGCATGGTCCTCCTCCCAAACTTCAGTAATTCCATAATTTCATTATATATAGAGTTTTTTTTTTCATTTTCATGTCAGAAGCTGGACAGTGTATATATACAGTGTATACATGCAACAAGAGCGGCATTGAACACGCATAAGACAAACGTGAGTGGTTACCACGGGTTACAGATATAAGCAGATATTAATGCCCATACATTTATGCCCAAATCGACTTGTATGGCTGAGTTCTATTTAGAAAAATAAAAAATTGCCTACCATCAACCATTGAAACGTCTATTCTTCTGCCGTGATGAAAGGGTAAAGGTCAGAAACAAGTCTGAAACTCGGGGATCAGCATTATTTCCAATGCTGACACTCGTTATTATGTTCAGGCACAACTTTTAGGCCCAGAGCTCAGTGTGTGATAATGAGATAATTATGAGAGCCACACTAACATGAATTTAAATTTGCACATCTGCAGGTGGACTTTGACCAACTGCAGGAGAACCTGACCCAGATGGAGCGGCGCTGCAAAGCTTCATGGGAGAACTTGAAGGTCATCGCCAAGCATGAGATGAAGCCGGTGCTGAAGCAGAAAATGAGTGACTTCCTGAAGGAGTGTGCAGAGCGTATCATCATACTGAAGATAGTGCACAGACGCATCATCAACAGGTGACACAGACCTCAGGGTCTAAACTTTGCATTCAGTTTTTCCCCCTGATTTTTCAGCAGCCATAAAATGGCAAACATGCACCTCCAAAAACACCGTAAAACAAAGAAAAACACCTGAGAATTCGTGTGTCTGCCGTCAATAGTTCAGTAGTTATGACACATTAAATATTAAAGGCGAATATTAATGTTGCACTCACTTTTTAAAGCCACTGTATCTCAGAAACTAAAAGTTTGTATGCTATCTTTTGGGCACAGTGGCATTTTTAAACATTATTTTAGTTATTTTAGTTACTCCATTAAAAGCAGTGCTGGAGAAAAGGTGCAAATTTAATAAGTCATAACTTCTGAACTGTTGATGCTAGATGCACTAAATGTTGAGACATTATTCTTCAGTTCAGGATGTTTTGCATCCAGAACTCCTGTGGATGTTTTCAGATCTGAAGCAGCTTGATTTTCTCCTCTCTCTCAGAGATGAAAGCTTTACGTGCTGTTTATCTGATGGGGGCAGTTTTGGGGTCTCCTAACTACTACTACTACTACTACTAATATTAGTAGTATAATAATTTTGTAGGTAGTTTGACCAGAGGAGGATGGGTCCCCCCATGTGAGCCTTGGTTCCTCCCAAGGTTTCTTCCTCAGCTCTGAGGGAGTTTTTCCTGGCTTGCTCACCTGGAGGATTTACAGTTCATGTTAAAACTTTGTCCTAAATGGATTTCTGTGAAGCTGCTTTGTGACAACATCAGTTGTAAAAAGCGCTATACAAATAAATTTGACTTGACTTGACCAGCTCTTCCAGGTGGTTGTTAGGAGCCTCATTTTCTCTGTAGCTTTTAATCATCTTTGAAAGTCCAGTTTTGGAAACTTCTGGTTTTTCATTTATTTTTCTTTGACTTTCTCCTTCTTTATACATGTGGTTTAACTCACTTCTAATTTCCTTAGAAATATCTCCTGGAAAATTAATAACTTGGACTTGGAAAATTGGGTTTCTTATGATGTTAAAAAATGAAACATCATAGTTGGTGCGTTTGTTAATTGAAATGTGCTCTTCTTACCGGTGTACATTATTTTGCAGAGGCTCTTCTCATGCAAGCAAACTGATTTTTAAATGAAAGGCTTCCATACTTTTCAGGAGACTCACTTTCAGTTTCTCAGAGAAATCTGCAGCCACACCTCCAGAGTTCAGTGGCTCTACTCATACAAACAAAACACATTTTAAATTGTGTTAATGTAGGACTGATGTGTATTTTTTTATTTTTAACAGCTTTTAACAGCTCAGACACCTTTGCTACCACCACACCATTGTGGTATTTAAAAGATTTAAAAGATCTGATGTTCTTCAGTGTGAAGATTTAGAGGGCCGGACTTTTCCCACAGATAAAAACAATGTTTTCACCCAGATTCTTTTAGCAAGCCATACAATGGCAAACATGAATCTCTGTACCTTCTTGGTTGGCAGATGAGCACCTCAAACCAAAAAAAAATCCCTGAAAAATTCAATCAAATTTTAAAGGCAAATATTACAGCCACGCCCACTTTTTAAAGCCTCTATATCTCAGAAACTAATGAAGATAGATGCCTAAAACTTTGGGCACTGACACTTTTTAATCGTTATTTTAGTTGCTAAGTCAGTTCAGAACATTTCTACATTTGGGGGAGGGTGATGATTGTGTACGTTTCATCTATCAAATGATAGATGATGAAAATATAACCATGTTCTGGAGGAGAAATTCCTTTTCTGTAAGAGATGTTTTTCCCTGTTTCTGCAGGTTCCACTCGTTTCTGCTGTACCTGGGCCATCCTCCGTACGGCGTTCGGGAGATCAGCGTCCACCGCTTCAGTAAAATCATGAGTGAGTTTGCGCTGGAGTATCGGACCACCAGAGAGCGCATTCTACAGCAGAAGCAGAAGCGAGCCGACCACCGCGAACGCAACAAAACCCGCGGCAAGATGATCATGGACGTCGCTGCTCCGGTGAGTGATGTGCTAATCCAACATGGGGGGGTTCCCTCCAGTGCTGGTCCTGGATCAGCCGTAATGAGCTCTAATAGACCTCAATAAGCACCTAAAACACTGTAAATTAGCCTTAATTCCTCCTAAAGACTGATAAGCTGTTACTGAAAATGCCTCTCAGTTTGCTCCTGGATGGAGGCCACATTCTGTAGCTCTACTTTAAAGGAAAATCAGTTTCCCCTCCTTTATGTTTGGTGTCTGAAGTTTGCTTCTTTAGTTTTAGCTGCGAGGCTAATGTAGTTAACGAGTGATGGAAGCTTATGGCCCGTGTGTGAAATCCCCCCTGGTATTTGGGGGTCTGGCTACTCCAGCGTTGGCTAACTGCTAACTCATTCACCAGTGAAGTTTCAATGGCAGCAGATTGTTTGGTTTAGCAGTTCTTCTTCTGGAAAGCTCTGTTGGTGATGTGTTTTCCACTGTAGATATATAAGCCCCTCAGGGCTGGTCGTCATAGCAATGCCTCATGAAGCTGCCATGACGTGAAGGAGACAATTTTTGTTGGCAGCAAGACAAAATACTGCTGAAAGAAGCAAACACTCCGAGAGATTTCGGACGTGCTTAGGGCGATAGCGACGATTCTCTCCGACCAGCAGTCTGCAGTGTTTTTACATCACCTTTTGATATCGGCCCGATCACGTGGAACCTCGACGGGGGTGATACCAAAAACAGTACCAGGTACCAGGTTTGCCCGATTGAGAACCAAAAAAGGTGAGCAGAGTCCAGCCGAGCCAAGCCTGGGTACCGTGCAGTGGAGAAGTGGCTTTCAAAGCTTTTTTCGAAGGAATCCCGGCCATAGTTAACAGTTAGGCTATGAAGGTCCAACTGTTCTAGATAGTTAAGAACACCAAAGACGGAAGCTGATTGTGGGTGAAGCAGATAAACAATCAGCTTCACCAAATCTGGGTTTGAGTGTCTGCATTTCCCAAACAGACAGACAACGTCAAAATCAGTTTATTTCCAGGGATTTTGATTTTGAGACATTGAGAGGGTCCATGAGGTTAACTAGGTATTTCACATCTTGCCTATAGCCCACCAATTAGCATCGTGCTAACTAAGGTTTCTCTCTCAATACTGATTCAGGGTACTGGCGATACTGAGTACTGATCCGATATTCGTGCTGTTTTTTTCTTCTATTTAAAATCATTTTTTTTTGTTGTTTTTTTATCTCATACAGCACCTGCTGAAAAAAGCATACATTCCATGCTGATCTAAGCTGGTCTAGTGTTGGTCTGGTGCTGGTCTAGTGTTGGTCTGGTGCTGGTCTGGTTCTGGTCTAGTGTTGGTCTGGTTCTGGTCTGGTCTTGTGCTGGTCTGGTCTGATACTGGCCTAAGCTTGTTAGGTGCTGGTCTAGTGCTGGTCTGGTCTGGTGCTGGTCTAGTGTTGGTCTGGTGCTGGTCTAGTGTTGGTCTGGTGCTGGTCTGGTCTGGTGCTTGTCTAGTGCTGCTGGTCTGCTGCTGGTTGACCAGCAGACCCTCATCCACAACACAAATAACTGGCTTATAATTGCCTAATAAGCTCCAGTGATAAAACTAAAGAAGCGAACTTCAGACACCAAACACGTCCTGACTGCTAAATGAATTTGGGGCAGTGGGGGGGGTGGGGCAGTGGGGGAGTGGGGCAGTAGGGGGGTGGCTCTGTCAGTTTGAGACAGACCTGTGTTTTCTTTTGCACGGTTTACACCTCTATGCATTAAACATTTATGTTCAGTTGTAAAGCTGAGTTTGTTCTGAGTCAGGTAATAGATCATCTATTCACAGTGTAATATGTCACATATCACTGCTGTCTGAACAAAACCTCGTATCTCCATTTTGTTTTTCAGTTTTTGACTGTCAGTGCCTGTCGTCCTTTACATTGAGTGTGAATTTTATGATGAATGGACACAGAAGAAACGGCTCAGAATGACTCGTAAAAAATCTGGTTCCATTGACTTACATTAATAGTAAAGCATGTTTTTCCTTCTCCTGTAAAGGTATCGCTTTGGAGATACGAGGTTTTGTTCCGAGCAGAGTTATGTACAATATAAAGATATGCACAGGCTGCGGTATTTAAGCTTCAGGTTTACAGGCTGATAGGGTTGAGTTACTGAGCTTTCAGCCACCGTCCATCACCGTTTTCCTGCCGTTAGCGCACTCAGACCCGTGGCTTGTAACGGTTGGAGCTGACCAGTCCCCACTGTAGAGATGCTTAACCCAGTCTGTTAGCCTGTTAGCAGCTGTACAAACACAGCATTAGCATCATATTTCTGATGTGGGCAGTGTGTGACTTTGATGTCCCTCTGTTAGAGCGTTTGAAGAAAACCTCTAATGAAGCCCTGGGTTTTAATCGTCTTTCAGAGCGCTCCGGCCTCCAGCCTGATAGTGATTAGATCATCGGGAACAAATGCTGAGAGCAGAGTTTATTCTGACCCTATTTGGGGTCACCACTGAAATATGATATGTGAGCAAAGCAATTTCATACTCTCTGGCCACTTTATCAGAAACCCCGCTCTCGTAGCTCGACTGTGTTCAGTTAGAGAGTGTAGACCATCTGTAGACACACAGCAATAGCTATCCTGTAGACCTTCATAGATGGTCAGTTTCTCACGATAAGATAGGTGTTTCTAATAAAGTGGGCAGTTAGTGGAAGCACCAGGGTGGTGTTTCTAATAAAGTGGCCCGTTAGTGTAAGTACATGGTGGGTGTTTCTAATGAAGTGTATAAATAGTGGAGTACAGTGTACAGTGAAAGTAAACCCGGTGTTTTCACTGGGCTGGTTTCAGACCTCTAAGACTGGTTTATTAGTCTGATCCTTCTGTGAATCTGTGATCTGATCTCTTTCCTCTGTAGACTGATGATGAAGAAGAGAACGAGGTACGACTGTGTGCTGTAACTGCGTCTCTGCTCCAGTGTCTGAGCTCTAATGTGTGCTGTGACTGAACTAACAGAATTCGCTGCAGATAAAATTACACACTGCACTGGTTTCAGTGGTGTGTTACTCGTGTTTTCTAACGCTTCACAATCGCTGCTTATGATCACCTGCATGTTCTCAGAGTGTAACGACTGTGTGCAGATTTCCAACAGCTGAAAATATTACAATCGAAACCAAATGTTTAAGTAAAAAAGTGCTGAGTCACCACAACAACCGATGGTTTCCAAGGACGGCTTTAGGAAAAGCTGGTCACTAAAAGGTGAAAACGTTTCTGAATGTTTAGCGCTCGTCTCAGGCCCTCGTTTTCTCTCACACCGCTGTCTGGTGTTTACAGTCAAACGTGTAACCCCGCCCCCCCTTAAGAAGCACGTCCTGCTTCTTTGTAAGCTCACTCTGCGTTTAAGAAGGCATCGTCTGAACGGCCCCAATGCAGGATAAAAACCCAACAGTGCTGAATTCTTCCATCCTTGTACCTTTTTTTCACCAATTTTTTCACTGCTATCACCATGGCAACACTCACAGCGCTGTACACCAGGGGCGTGGCTAGAGCTTTTTTTTCATAGGAACTAAAAAATGAAAATGAATAATTAAAACCATGTAAAAAGCCATGCATTGTTTTTTTTTTCTCTGTACACCTGAATCTGTGCATCATTTCCACATGAGTAAAATATGTTGGTGCAGTTACTGCCGAAAGTAACTGAACACCTAAACCACGATGACGTACTGTATTGTGGCGTCCACCACGATCCGCACTGCCGTGAGGAGCTTAAAGACCAATTTATGGTGCAGGCGATAAGCGTCACTCGACAAAAACTGGCCTAAAGGAGAATAAATTAGTGTCTGCTGGGGTACATAAAAAATGAAGGAGCGCAGACGTTTAGGACAGAAACTCAAAGTTCTACGTTCTAGACTGTCACCATGGTCACAGTGTGCTGCTGTGTTTCACAGTGTGCTGCTTTGCTGTTTTCAGAAACAGAATGGGTTGCCAGCTATTCAGAATTTGGTTCAAGATACATTTGTAAGACGATTTGTTTTCATTTTTAAATGTTTTTCCACGACTACTTTTAAAAAAGAAGTCCAGGCAGAAAACTCACCTGTGACAGTGTAATGTCCCCCCGATTCAGACTGACTGGAATTTTTGAGAAAACCATGAATCTGGCAACCCTGAGCGGTGAAGAAAAACTCGTGAGTGAAACACACGCATGTAGAAAAGAAGTAATAGGCTATTCCTGGTTGCCATGGTGATCCCTGCAGCTTAAAATCTCCACTGCAGTTTGACTGAAGCAGCTGTTTTCTGCTCTCTCTGTTGTTTCACTGCTGTTTTATTACCTGCACTGTTATCAAGTTTTCATAGAAACTCCAGATGATGTCCTATTCCAACGTTTTGTCGCTGGTGCACGACTATGGAAGCCTACAGCGCTGCAATATCTGGCAACAGTTTTTTTTGTGGAGTGACACTTGTCACCTAGACTATAGATTGGCCTTAAGGGGTTGTGACCATGCAAAGTGCCCCTTCGGAGGTGCCACACACCCCGGAAGAAAAGGACAGTTACTGCTGCTGTTGTTTATTAGTGTAGTTGTTGTTTATTAGTGTAGTTGTGGGCAGGGAGGTGGGACACAGTGTGTTGAGTTTGTCTGCCCTCCTCAAATGTCGTGTCCCCACTGTGTTTTGTGTTGGGATAGCGCTGACTGGGCATTTCTCACTGCCGGTTCAAAATGAAAGAGCATTTACCTGTATATGCTAATGCTATAGGTGAATTCAGTGCATCTGAACAACGTTAATTTACTGTGAAGTGAGAAAGTAAAGCATTTAACATACACAGGCCATAGACGTTATCCACTTAGGCCGCCCTCGCTACAGGTTACACACGAGTCTGAGGGGCAGAAACCTAGACAGACAGACTAAGTATTACATTTACGGCGTTTGGAAGACACTCTTATCCAGGAGACTTACAACGTACACAGTTAGGTGAAGGTGGTGTTAGGAGTCTTGCCCAAAGACTCCGTACAGGTATAGCATAGGGTGCTTACCCAGGTGGAGGACTGAACCCCAGTCTAAAGCGTGGTGGGGGGGGCAGAGATGTCATTTAAATAACGTAATGAGCGCAAAGGCTGACCAGTACTTAGCAAGATTACATCCCACTTAGCGTTGACATGTCCTCAGAGGGAACCTACAACAGGCATGTGTTCAGCTATAAAGTCATTAACATGACACGATTACAAAATGACTGATGTGTGATTTATAACACGGTGTACTTCACAGGCTACAGCCTCTAACTGAACACCAGGGAGGGTTTCTGATAAAGTGGCCAGAGAGTGTATAAATGTGTTCACACGTGTGTTTGTATGTGTTTTTGTTTCCGTGTTTACAGACCGGTCAGACGGTCGGGGGCAGCAGTAGCAGCAGTGTTGGCGGGAGCAGCAGCAGCGCCCCCAGTGGAGGGCAGAGTGAAGTGCAGGGTTTGAGCCATGCGGAGGACGCAGCCGAGCACGAGCACATGAAGGCCGTCCTGAAGGGCAGCCTGCAGGGCGGCAGCACTGAGAGCAGCGTGTTACCAGGGTTACGCACACGTACGCGGGCGCGGCCCAGCAGAGGTGAGAAACACACTATTATATACATATATCTTTATATAGACTCGTCCCTTTAGTTAATTTACAGTCAACAGAAGGAGATATTTTTCCCAAATTTGAAAATGTGGCTCCTAACAACCACCTGGAAGAGCTGGTCGACCCCAAAACTGCCCCCATCAGATAAACAGCACTTAAAGCTTTCGTCTTTGAGAGAGAGGAGAAAATCAAGCTGATCAGATCTGAAAACTTCCGAGTTAGCATGTGTGATAATTTAAGCTTACAGTTAGCATCATGCTAATCAATGGGGTATAAGCTTCCATTACTTGTTAGCTACATTAGCCTCATAGCTGCAGGGCTAAGACAGAAGAATCAAACTTCAGACACCAAACATGTCTTGACTGATCAACTATAATGAAGATAATCAGATTTTCTTTCTCGTTAAATTAATGGAATTGGTGATTTTAGTGAACGAGCATATCTTCATAATATTGGAGAAGCACAAATAAATCATATAATTTCATATATAATCACACCATGTAGAGTATCATTAACAGCCTGGTGATACTGAATTGCGATCATGTATGTATGTGTTCTCTGCAGGCCGAACTGCCTGGGCAGCGGCGAATGAGGAAGGTCCTGGAGTGACCGATGATGCGGCTGATGAGATCATGGAGCGGATCGTACGCTCGGCCACTCAGGGTCCACGAGAACGGACGCAACCACGGGAACGCAGACGCTCACGCGCCAACCGCAAATCACGTGCGTTAATGTTTCACAACCAGCCAGTCACAAATGACATACATTAATATGTCACTACAAGCCAGTCACAAATCACATGATACATTTTTAATGACGGACCAATCACAAATCACCTATGTCAACATTTCACCACTGTCCAATCACAAAAAATATACCGTAATGTTTCACTATGAGCCAGTCACAAATCACGTACGTTAACATTTCACCACTGTCCAATCACAAATCACATATCAACATTTGAATAAAAATCAATCATAAACCACATACAGTAACATTTAACTACCAACCCATCACAAATCATATATGGTAATGTTTAATTGGTAATAACATTACACTACCAACAAATCACATAAAAAACATTTCACTATCAACAAATCACAAATCAAGTATGATAACATTTCACTACCAATCACAAGTCACACACTTCGACTTTTCAATACCAACCCATCACAAATCTGGTATGATAACATGTCACTACTAACCAATCACAAATCACATACAGTAACATTTAATAGCCAACCAACCACAAACGTTTCACTTTTAACCAAACGAAAATCACGTCAGTTAATTGTATTAATAAATAAGTGTTTTTTTGTCTTTGTACAAACATCAAGAACATCAGGCACAGATAGAACCACAGATATGTAGATAGACAGGTAGACAGACAGTAACAGACGTCCATGGTGAGGTGGTCACTCACTCCCTCAGACAGTGATTAACTGTACTATTCCTCCTCTCTCTCAGTGAGACGGACGCTGAAGAACGGTTTAACTCCAGAGGAAGCTCAGGCTCTGGGCTTGGAGGCCTCAGAGATGCAGGTGTGAAGATCCACACACTCCTGCTTCCACGTGCACCACACCCCCCTCCTCCATTTACCTTCCACACATCCTCAGCCCCCCGCCAGATCCACACTGACCGCCCCGCTTCAGGACCCCCTGCTCTGGGCAGCGTTTCTCCAGGTCCAGGATGGTGGACTCCACATGTGTTCCTCTCTCCTTAGAGATCCTACAGGACTCCGCTGAGTAGAACTGTTTCCAGACAGTGTCCACTGTTCTCGTACGGCTAATCACCACTAATGTATCCCGGCCGAGCTGCACTAAAGCAGCGTTAGCGTTTTTAATACAGCGCTCCTGTAGCATTGTTAGCGTGTTTCAGTACAACGTTTCTGTAGCAGTGCCAAAGTTTTTGGGTGCAGTGCTCCTGTAGCAGCGCTAAGGTATTCAGGTAAACGTCTATGTAGCAGCGCTAGCATTTTTTGGGTGGAACCCAAAAAAACAGCACAGACCAGCATGAATTCCGTGCTTGTCTATGCTAGTTTACGCAGGTCTGATGCTGGTTTAGCTGGTCACCCAGCCCGGTCATGTTTTTTGGGTGAAGGGCTTCTGTAGCAGCACTGTAAGGGTAGAAAACTCCTGTAGTAGCGCTAGAATTAGCATTAGAACTGCTGATCTGCTTCAGAGGAGCTGTATCACCTGTTCAGCTCTGCTAAAGCAGAGGTAGCGGGATGGCTAGAGCTCTTCTGTAGCATTGCTAATGTTTTTCAGTGGAGCTGTGCTAAAGCAGAGGTAGCGTTCTGGGCTGTGGCCCTCTTCGGTGGAGCTCCATTAACCATGTTAGCATTTTTGGGTAGACCTCTACTAAAGCCGCACTAGTAGCTTTGGGTCAAGCACCTTTGTAGGAGCTTCTGCTGGATCTCACTGTGTTTCTCACATCTGATGTGTTTCTAGTAAATGAAGACAAACCACAAACTCTCTTATCAGTGACGCCTCTGGATAACGGACCTGCCGGAACAGCGCCGCGGCTACAGCAGGACCTCCAGATAAACAAAGCGGCCTGTTACTCACGGCACCGGGGCTGCAGATTTGGGGGAAAGATGAGGCACATTGACTCGGGCCTAAAATAACTGGCTTTAATGACGGTCAACTAGTAAATATTGAGGGGGGTTAGCATCATCAGGGTCTTATCAATAAAGACACAACATGTTTCAGGAAATATTTATGTTATTTTCTCGTGTTTTAGGTCAATAAGGGAAGAACATCATCTTAGTTACTGAAATGTTTCACCTTCACTCAATCAGCTGATATCCTAACCTGACCAGGCTCCGCCCACAAACATGTTCTTTCATAGCTACTGTGGTGAGATTGAGTTTTATAGAATGGTGATAAAAATCCCATCAAACCAGACTCAGTTTATATCACAATACCTACATTTAGAGTCAGTTATTCATTCAGCCTAATGAGAAACATTTGTTCATTTCAGTTATTTCAATAATTATTGTTATTCATTTAAACTCTTAATTAAAATCATTAGGTTGGATGAAATGCGGTTTTAGATACGATCTCACAACACTATCTACCACAGGGCATCATTGTGGGTTAATTTCTCAGTTTATCCATTTTCCTTCCTTTTCTCAGCTTGTTATTGTGTTTTTCATCATGCCAACAGAATATCGTTCTTCATCCTTTTATTCCATTATAAATGGGATTCAACTGTTTTTGTGACGTTTTTGTTTGTTTCATAGCTGAAAACAGTAGAAATAGAAACGGTTATTTCCTCATATTCACTCATGTTCGTCCCCTGAATGTCCTGAGGGGGGCGCACTTTCTCTGTTTGTGGAATATTTTGAGGTTTAACTTGTGCCTTTGCTCAGTACTGGACTGTATTAGCGCTAATCCACTATAGTTCACTTCTCAGTGTTTCTGATCTTATTTATTGACTGTACTGGGTTTGAGATGAAGGGCTGTTATGAGCTCCGTACGTTTTGTTCGTTTCATTTTGTTGTAAATGTTGTTCTGTTACTCTGCATCACTGTGGTGGGGCTGAACTCAGTCCTGTGCACCTTATTGCCATTCAGTATGTGGGATATTTATGGAAAAATAGGATTTATATGTATGTATATGAACAATAACAAGATTTATACATTTTAATAATTCTAATTATTGCAATTAAAGTGTAAAAAATTGTATGGGATATGAATTTCATCTCAAAAAAACTTTAAAAGTGTAAAAATTCAGTATTATTTTGATGCTGAGTTGTGTAAATGCCCTTCTTTGTGGTGGAGTTTATGTTTCTTTGTGCGTTTATCCTGTTTTCTGTAGAACATAGTGTATTAAATACTGAAAGAGGAACCGATAGTTTTAATTTAATTCAGATTTAAGGTCTGAGCCTCACATGGTCACACAAACTTCTTCACTCTCACACGCAGCGCTTCGTACGATCTGCAGGGACGGCTGTTAAATCTGCCTTTCAGGAAATAAACGAGTGTTTCTGTTGTTTTCGTTGTGTGTGATCAGCTGCAGGGGAGGTCACTGTCTTGCCTTAGTAGCCGCTCAGTTTAGTTCTCTCTGCTGATAGATCCTCTCACTCTGTTTATTATTGTTGGATTATTTTGGATTATTTTGGACGTATGAAGCGGAACAGTTTGCAGTGTTGCACTCTGGGACATCATTAAACAGTGTGTTCACACGTTTCTGCAATAAAACTCTTTTTCTGAATCAGATTGTTTACAGCGTTATTGATTATGCTTTAACTTTTATAAATATAACTGTTATATTTGAACTTTCACATATATAACCTTTGTTATACAACCCCATTTCCAGAAAAGTTAGGACGTTGTGCAAAATGTAAATAAAAACTAAATGCAATGATGTGCAAATCATTTAAACCCTATATTTCATGAAAATAGTACAAAGACAACATTTCAAAAGTTGAAACTGAGAAATTTTATTGTTTTTTGAAAAACATTTGCCCATTTTGAATTTGATGCCAACAACATGTTCCAAAAACACCTTAACAACCACCTGGGATACCGTTGTAATGGCCTGGCAACACCTTAGCAACCACCTGGGACACCATAGCAATGGCCTAGCAGCACCTTAGCAACCACCTGGGACACCACAGTAATGGCCAGGCAACACCTTAACAACCACCTGGGATACCATAGTAATGGCCTGGCAACACCTTAGCAACCACCTGGGACACCATAGCAATGGCCTAGCAGCACCTTAGCAACCACCTGGGACACCACAGTAATGACAGTTTGAGTTAACCCTTTAAATCCCAGGCTTATTACACACACAGGCTGGTTATTCATGAACTGCAAGACTGAGTTATTCTTAGCTCATGGAAGTGAGCAGTGAAACTGTGGACCCAGTGTGGGGTCAAAGCTCTGATAAGTGAACAGAACAGTGTTCTTACGTTCTGTTAGTATTCACAGACCGTTCTACACAGAGAACTGGTGAAACGTGAAGAGCTCTGTGTTTAATATGGCAGGTGCAGGAAGGTGTAGTGCTCACGGTGGCCGGACCCTGTCCAGCTGTGTCTGAATGTGGTTTACTCTCCTCCTCCGCAGAGAGGTCACTGCAGAGACTAGCTGTGCAGAGGAGAACCCTCACTGTTCTAGTTAAAGGGCCAGTATCAAGGAAAAAATATTTTCATCCCTCTTTATGAAACAGGAGTCTAACACAGTATTAAAGATGCTGGTTTTTAAAGTACCATCCTGACAGGCCACATACAATGCAACTGAACTGAACTGAAATGCCCAACAGGTTCTAGATATTAACTGGGGAAACATAGGGTACAAACCCCAAAGTACTAGATCATTAGTTTGAGTAAGATGATGGTGAGTTGAACTAAATTACAATGACATGCACAACAGGTTCTAGATATTAATTGAGTAAACATAGGGTACCAGATACTAGACAATTATGGAGGTTAACATGATGGTGAGTTCCAGTAGTGTTCCACTAAATTACAATGACATGCACAACAGGTTCTAGATATTAAGTGAGTAAGCATAGGATACAAATTTCAAAGTACTAGATAATTATTTTGGGTAACATGATGGCAGGATTCAATAGAGTTGAGCTAAATTACACTGAAATACCCAAAAGGTTCTAGATATTAACTGCACGTGAAGTACAAAGTTTGTGTAAAATGGGGCTAAGTACCGAAACTAAATAAGCCAGGGATACAACAGGTTCTAGCTATTAAGGTGAAAAGGACATAGCTAAATACCTCATAACTGGAAGGTAAATACAAACTCATAGTAAATTTCAGTGTAATGTCACTTTCAGTTCTAGATAACAGGCCAAAACAGTACAAGACATTTATCTCTTCAAATATCTTTGTTTTGCCCTTTAACACCAAATAAGTACCTGATACTGATATTTCTGATTTTCTTTCCTGCTTAAATTTGTGACATTTCACATAACTGTAATTTTACCCAATATAATTATCTAGAACTTTGGAGTTTGTGCCACACACTCATCCAGGTAATATCTAGAAAGTGTTGGATTTTTCAGTGCAATTCGTTAGATTGTATTAGAACATTCCATCACATTACCCAAAATAATTACCTAGTATTTTGAAGATTATACCACACACTCACCCAGTTAATATCTAGAACGTGTGGGTCATGTCAGTGCAATTTCATTAGACTGTCTTAGAACATGCCATCATGTTGCCCAAAATAATAACCTAGTATTTAGGAGATTATACCACACACTCACCTGGTTAATATCTAGAACATGTTAGGCATGTCAATGCAATTTGTTAGATTGTCTTAGAACATGCCATCATGTTGCCCAAAATAATAACCTAGTACTTTGGAGTTTATATCTCACATTTACCCAGCTAATGCCAAGAACCTGCTGTGCATTTCAGTGTAATTTAGTTAAGACTGTCTTGAATCTTATGATAATGTTGCCCAAAATAATTACCTAGTACTTTGGAGTATTTATCTCACACTTACCCTACTAATATCTAGGACCTGTTGGGCATTTTAGTGTGGTTTAATTAACCTGTCTTGGAACTTACCATCATGTAACCCAAAACAACTACCTACAGACTTTGTCTGGGTCTCCAGACTTACCCAGGTAATATCTAGAACCTAAAAGGAATGTAAAAGAAATCTTTACTCGTGTTTTATATATGTATATTTTGTATATACATATATAAACAGGCCTGCTTTATGAATGAGGCACAGCCAATCACAGCAGAGCTCATTTACATATATCAGACTTAAAGGCGCAGTAATAGGAACCTGTTTAACTGTAAGTGATAAAGAGAGGCTGGAAATGATCACGTAGCAATAAATCAGGACTGTTTTGGTATAAAAACCACACAGACGTTCTAAGTGGAGCTCAGAGGAAAAATAATTACAGTAAAAATGCAGGGTGTGAGCTCTTTGGGTCAGTACAGGTCAGTACAGGTCACTTCTCAGAGTGATCTAGCACTTGAGTAAAGACAGAACTGGACCAAAGTTTTCTGCCTCATCATGCTGCTGTTCATGATTAACAAAATAGCTGTAATGATTAATAATTAACCAAACGAGTCACTCTGATCCTTCAGCATGTTTGAGAGCCTGTTAATGTTTCTCACACAGAACAAAGACGCTCTGCAGGTGTTCCATAATCCAGGCTGACACCTTTATTCATGTTCTGTAGTTATTCATATCATTCTGTTTGATTTTTATTGCACAGCTACAGGATTAATTACACCTCTATTTGATGTTCCTCTCTGTAGCAGGTTCAGTTCTGCACTTATGACTTTTTCTCTTTCAACATCAAAGAAGAACAAAAACATTGGTAACGGTTCTTTTCTTTCAGCTAAACAAGACACAACAATAACCTTTCAAATTTAAATCATGAAAAATTACATCTTCTTCTAGTTGATTGAGAGTTTACAAGTTGCACCTTCCACACTACTTTCCTCTTGAATGAAGAAGAACTGTAGCACATAATGATGTAACAATTTCCCAATAAATAGTGCATTCCTGAAGAAAATGCACAGTGATTTCACAACTTTTTAAGGCCCTAAAACAGAGCCCTGGGGTACACCGTATTTAATATTAGTATATTTAGAGCATCCATCATTTACATCTACAAACCAGGAATATTAGGACCTAAACTAGAAACATCCTGTCCAGAAATGTGCGGTTACTAAGGTGTTGCCAGGGTGTATGGGGTGTTTACTGAGTGGTTGTTATGTGGTTGCCAAGTGGTTGCTAGGTACTGAAAATGAATGGGACTGTATAAGAGAAATGAGGATAACAAAATAAATAGGATAACAATAGTGTTGCCAATAACTTGCCTAGTCATGTAATTATGTAATACAGGGTCTTGATCATTTTTACCAATAATTTAACACCTCACATTATTGGGACTTTATTATTTTTATTGTTTATTACAATTTCATGTTGCTCATTTACAATATCTTTATATTGTAAATGAGCACTTTATATCATTATTGGGTTTTATTAATTTTTTTTTTACCGAGTTAAGTGCACATTTTAATTAGATTTCTGGTTGTTATTACATTATTGGGAATGTATTACATTATTAAGTGCTACAAGAATTAATTGAGAAGATTTAATTCAACAAATACATGAAAAGGCATTTTGATGCCAAGGGCGACCTGTGATCACTATGTTTAAAACCAGAGAGCACCACGAATGTACTGTTATTATAGAAAATGCATCCATACACAGGAATTCAGAACTTCTGGAACATATACAGATTTGTATTCCCATTGTAGCAACTCAGTGTTTACAGATAATGTCGCCCAAATGAAGCAGAAATAGGCAAAAAGAAGAAAAAGAAATGGCCCTAATACAGAGCCCTGGGGTACACCATATTTAACATTAGTTTATTTATGGCTTTAATTATTTACGTCTACAAACCAGGAATATTAGGACCTAAACCAGGAACATCGCGTCCAGAAATAGGCGGTACAGTGTTTTGTTGGTGGTCAACTAACATGTTGTTCTAGCAGAGATCAAAGAATGAATCAGCATGTGGGTTCTAAGTCATGCTATCACGCGTGGTTATAAAGTGAGAAGGTGAAGGTGTGCAGTGACACAGCTGATCATTATCTTACCAAAGCACATCTGTTCAGAAACAAACTAGACAATAGTGACACTGAAGATCTGAGAACACAACACAACACTTAAGTGGGATTTTAAGCCCTTTTAAAGGAAAATTACACAGGAAGAACAACCTTTAAAATGTGTTAATTTTAAACCCAGACGAGCATTTCTATTGGTCCATCTGAGGTCTGAACGTAAACAAAGACAGCTGAGCTTTAAATCACTTCATTTATTTATTTACCATGACAACTTATTTTCAACAAAACAATAGAACGTATAAAAGTGGTTGTGGATAAAATTATGAAAAAATGATGGTGTCTGAACATCACCTCATCACAAGTGTAACATCATATGTGATCACAGGTGACGTCGTGCACTGGAACAGCTCCAGAGATCACACTGTTTATTTATACATTCAGAAGATCAACTTCATTCGTTTATTTATTCATTCACTCATGAGGCCATGCTTATTTATTTATTTATTTATTTATTTATTTATTTATGTTTATTTATTTATGTTTATTTGCCAGGTCTTGTTTCACTCAGTCACTCATTTATTTATACACTTATAAAGTCATGTCGTGTGCAAAAGTTTGGGCGCCCCGGTCATATTACGTGTTTTTGTTGTTGACTTTCTGAGTGTGAATAAGTTAGCACATCCTCTACAGATAACACACTTCTGCACATATAATACACAATTACTGTTTGTTTACTGAATTTAACACACTTTATTCAACATACAATATGGCCTGTGTAAAAGTAATGGCACATTTTGAGACAATGACAGTTTTGTTTTGTTTTTCTCCTCATTTAATGTGTTCACTTATTTACACTCAGAATATCAACAAAAAATCCAGCTTTAAACAAGGGTGCAATAACCTCTGCTGTGTTTGTTTATGTCCAAGGTCATGTTTATTCATTCACTTACTCAAATGTATGTATATATATATATATATATATATATATATATATATATATATATATATATGTGTGTGTGTGTGTGTGTGTGTATTTATTTATGGATTTATTTACCCAGGAGGATGAGCAGCTCATTTATGTATTAATGCATTTATTTATCCAAGATGCCTATTTATTTATTTATTTACACATGTTTGTATGTATAAATGTATGTATTACCTCCCTCAGAAATTCATGCGTAAATTATTCTGTCGGTTCTGTTATTTATTCATTTATTTATTTTTATCTATCTATCTATCTATCTATCTATCTATCTATCTATCTATCTATCTATCTGTCTGTCTGTCTGTCTGACTGTCTGCCTGCCTGCCTGCCTGCCTGTGTATGTATTCCCTCCCTCACTGTTACCCTGTGTCAGTGCTGCGTGTTGTCCAGCAGAGGGCGCCGCTGCTGCAGCGCAGCTGTGTGAGCGCAGTGCGCATGCTCCGATCGGGCTGTGTTATATAACCCGGCGGGGCGCTCTCAGTCGTGGAGCAGACAGTCTGAGCTGTGGTTCCTCTGGGTTCGTTCCGTCCTGACCGCGCTGTAAGATGGCTGAGGACATTCTGCTGTACTGGGCCTCCGGGTCTCCTCCCTGCTGGAGGGTGATGATCGCCCTGGAGGAGAAGAACCTGCACGGGTACAAAAGCAAACTGCTCTCCTTCGACAAGAAGGAGCACAAGGGTCCGGAGGTGCTGGCGCTGAACCCCCGGGGGCAGGTGAGGACCACCAGACACTCACACAGAGAAACAGCTCCACCGCGCTGTTAACGGACCTGTGGTTAAACCGCTGATCTGACTGAGAGACGCAGCTCTATGAACTCTGTGAACCCTACTCTGAAGAAACGAGGGGGCGTGGTCGAGAGGGGGTGGAGACCACGCCCCCTCCATTCTCCAGCCTCATTGGCTGAACTGCCCCTTCCCTTTCTTATGAGCCAAATCAGTTTCATTCAGTTTCAATGTATGACGTTGAAAATCTGAATAAAAAAACAATATTGTTTTGGTTGCACACTTAAAAAAGATGGTTCTTCAGGGGTTCTTTAGTAAAGACAATTGAGGAGAACCATAAAGAACCATTTGCATGCGTCAGGTTTTCCCTGCACGGTGAAACAGTCCCTCAGATTGATGGAGAATGTGCTGTATGTGGATCTATATAGCACCAAATAGGTTCTGCTGTTGTGTACAAGCTTGAAATCATAACAATAAAAGAACCCTTTTTGGTGCTATATAGAACCATATACTACACGTTCCCCGTCAATCTGAAGAACCATTTCACCACGCAAAGAACCCTTTAAGCAGGCAAATGGTTCTATATAGAACCCATGGTTCTAAACAGAACCATTGCCTTCATTAAAGAACCCTTGAAGAACCATCTTTTTTGAATGTGTAGATATTTGTCTAATAGAAAACGTTTCTGATTTTTTAGATATTAAAAACTAAAACAAAACATCACGCCTACGTGTCTGGCAGGGGTCCTAAATAAATAAGTGAAATAAGGCCACGCCCACTTCTGAGCCTCTGTTCTCAGACAGTAACGAGGATAGAAGGCTGAGATCATTCCTGAGAGTGTTACGGCCCTCGGGAGCTGACGTCTGCGCTCCTCTCAGGTTTGTGGTGAAACTCGTTTAGCACTGTTTCCTCGTCCCTGTGAGCTGCTGCTGCTCAGAGCCTCACCATTATTATTATTTTAGCCTGAAATATGAAATAGTTTCCTCAGAATAGAGAACAGTTTAACATTTAAACTCTCATGAATGAAAAACAGCAACAACACTTCCACAAATTTTTCTAAATATGCTTCTAAAAATGTTTTGTAATACATTGCCATAAATGTTTGACATACACTATTGTACATATTTCATCTATGTGTGTGCAGTTATTTCAATATATTGACATATGTGCCCACATTGCATACATTTACATATTAAAAGGCCACAGTGTATGTATTATAGTAGCGTAGTGTGGGTACAGTGTGTAGCGTGTAGTGCAGTTACAGCCTAGCGTAGTGTGGGTACAGTGTGTAGGGTACAGTGCAGTTACAGCCTAGCGTAGTGTGGGTACAGTGTGTAGGGTACAGTGCAGTTACAGCCTAGCGTAGTGTGGGTACAGTGTGTAGGGTACAGTGCAGTTACAGCCTAGCGTAGTGTGGGTACAGTGTGTAGGGTACAGTGCAGTTACAGCCTAGCGTAGTGTGGGTACAGTGTGTGGCGTACAGTGCAGTTACAGCCTAGCGTAGTGTGGGTACAGTGTGTAGGGTACAGTGCAGTTACAGCCTAGCGTAGTGTGGGTACAGTGTGTACGGTACAGTGCAGTTACAGCCTAGCGTAGTGTGGGTACAGTGTGTAGGGTACAGTGCAGTTACAGCCTAGCGTAGTGTGGGTACAGTGTGTAGCGTGTAGTGCAGTTACAGCCTAGCGTAGTGTGGGTACAGTGTGTAGCGTGTAGTGCAGTTACAGCCTAGCGTAGTGTGGGTACAGTGTGTAGGGTACAGTGCAGTTACAGCCTAGCGTAGTGTGGGTACAGTGTGTAGGGTACAGTGCAGTTACAGCCTAGCGTAGTGTGGGTACAGTGTACCGATAATCCTGTGGACGTTAGTTAACAGATACTGCTCTGATTTTTAGGTCCCCACATTCAAGCATGGAGACATTGTGGTGAATGAATCTGTTGCTGCCTGCCTGTACCTGGAGGTAAGTGAGACCAGACCGACCTGAGAAACTGTAGAACAGACTCAGTTTATATCACAATACCTACATTTAGAGTCAGTTATTCATTCAGCCTAATGAGAAACTGTAGAACAGACTCAGTTTATATCACAATACCTACATTTAGAGTCAGTTATTCATTCAGCCTAATGAGAAACTGTAGAACAGACTCAGTTTATATCACAATACCTACATTTAGAGTCGGTTAATCGAGTCGTGTAAATGTAGGTATTGTGATATGAACAGTTCTACAGGTTGAATGGGTTTTTTAGTCAGGGTTCTGTAAACCTCACAACAGTATCTGTGAGAGAACCCATTTGTGGGCGGAGCCTGGGTAAGACAGTAGCTGCAGTGTAGTTAGTCACTGTGGTGTGATGGTGTTCTGTTTTTGTGTTTCTGCAGAGTCGTTTTAAATCTCAGGGTTCTCAGCTGATGCCGGACAGTGTGACTGAGCAGGCTCTGGTTCTGCAGAGAACGTTTGAGTCCAGCTCAATGCAGCAGAGAATGTGTAAGATAACATGCACTGCACTCACAACACAGATACAGACATTTTATTTACTATCCAGAACCACCAGTGAACCTACACGAGTCTTCTGAGTTTATATGAATGTTGATGATGAAAATAGTGGAAAATCTGAAATAATACGTTTTCTTTGGGGACTATTTTGCCTCACAGCGCCCTGCATGTATCCCTCCACCATGAATGGAGTTTAAGTTCTCTAAACTATCATAAAACAGTGTCTCAGTCATCAGGCAGTGAATTCATAACCATTTCATGTAGGAACTTTCTGTGAGGAGCTTTTAGAGGTGGACGTCTGGTTCCTATCACCACCACTGTGAACAGTTCTGACTCAGATCGACTGTTGATTCGGATGTTGACTGATTGAGTCGGACTCTGATTCTGATATTGACAGTGATTCTATTGTTGATTCTCATGATTCTGATAATGACTCCATGATTCTGATATTGACTCTTATATTGATTCAGTTGATTCTTATGCTGATTCTCATGACTCTGATATTGACTCAATGATTCTGATATTGACTCTGATTCTGATATTGACTCTGATATTAATTCTTCTACTGATTCTGATTATTCTGATGTTAATTCTCATGACTCTAATATTGACTCAAATTAATTCTTATACTGATTCTGTTGATTCTGATGTTGATTCTCATGACTCTAATGTTGATTCAGTGATTCTGATATTAACTCAGTGATTCTGATATTGATTCTAATAGTGATTGATTCTGAAGATTCGAATGTTGATTCTTATGACTCTGATATGACTCAGTAATTCTGATATCGACTCAATGGTTCTGAGAGTGACTCTGATATTGATTCTTATACTGATTCTGATGATTCTAATGTTGATTCTCTGTGAATCTGATATTGACTCAGTGATTCTGAGAGTGACTCTGATATTGATTCTTGTACTGATTCTGATGATTCTAATGTTGATTCTCTGTGAATCTGATATTGACTTAGTGAATCTGAAATTGACTCAGAGGTTCTGACTGCTGTGTAGATGAAGCTGTGTTCTATGACTTCTTCGTTCCGGAGGGTGAGAGACACGAGTCAGCTCAGAAGAGGCATAAGGAGGCTCTGAGCACCGAGCTGAAGCTGTGGGAGAGCTACCTGCAGAAGGTAATGTTCACTCAACGTCAGATATATATGAGGAGATGCTCCACAGAACGTTCCCTGTTGGAGACTGGGATACATGGGGCGTCCACAGAGAATGTTCTTCTGTTGTTTATGTCTTTCGCCTGCTCCCCCGTGTCTGCTAATCTAGGTCAGCACAGTGGCCATGGCAACAAAGTCACGTGACGGAAACTTCTGAATAGGGTGTAACTCTACTCCAGATCACGAATAAATAAATAAATAAATGAAAGAATGAACTGTGGAACGAAAGCACTGAGAGTCTGACCTGCGGGAGCTGCAGTGTCTCCCAGCACCACCACTAAATTACACCAGCAGAGTCAGAGACCACCCTTCATTTATTTAAGCCCCAATCAAAACAGCCCTTAGTTACAGTTACTGATATGATTTTAGTGTTAATTATTGATTTTTCACATCTTTAACAGAAAATTACACAGAAGCCTCGAAATGAAGCGTGACGTCAGACTGTTCAGTGTTCAGGGAGTTTATTCACTCTTCTCAGGAGACTCTCAGATCTTCACAGAAGCCTGCAGGGCTGTTTCTCCTCACCTCCGAAGTTCAGTCAGAAGTTGGTTTAGCGTTTTTTAAGTTAACAGATTTAGACTCTCAGATGTTCAGTACAGAGGTTCTCAACCTGTCCCGCCTACTGTATCTCTCTCCCTCTCTCTCTCCCCCTCCACCCCCCACCTCACTCTCTCTCTCTCTCTCTCTCTCTCTCTCTCTCTCTCTCCTGTAGCTGGATAAAGGATCGTATCTGGCTGGGAAGAGTTTCTCGATGGCTGATGTTGTGTGTTTCCCCTACATCGCCTTCCTCGTCCGGTTCGGGTGAGTCAGACTCTACGAGTCTGTGGTAGAGACCCAGAAAAACACCACAGACAGATGGAGGGACAGATAGATATACACTAAGAAAGACAGACATGGAGAGAGATGGACATATAACCATACCAACAGAGTGACCGATGGACAGATGGACAAAAAGAGAGATGGCTAGATAGACAGACAGAGAGATAGATAGACAGACAGACAGCTGGATACATGGACAGACAGATAAACATACAGATGTATACGGGTATAAGAAACGGTCCAGTCAGATCATAACGAGCTCACACAAATTTCACCCACAGTTTTGTTATGGATCAGTTTCTTCTTCACTCAGAACCAATCAAAATTCAGCTCATAGTTTCCACATAGTTATTACTGCTGTCGCTACACTGAAGTGTCATTCAGTCAGTCAGTCACTCTCACTCACTCAGTCACTATCAATTGTTCAGTCAGTCAGTCACCCAGTCAGTTACTAATACAGTCAGTCAGTCAGTCATTCAGTCACTCTCACTCACTCAGTCACTATCAATTGTTCAGTCAGTCAGTCACCCTGTCAGTTACTAATACAGTCAGTCAGTCATTCAGTCACTCTCACTCACTCAGTCACTATCAATTGTTCAATCAGTCAGTCACTCAGTCAGTTACTACTACAGTCAGTCAGTCAGTCGCTCAGTCAGTTACTAATACAGTCAGTCAGTCAGTCAGTCATTCAGTCAGTCAGTCATTCAGTCACTCTCACTCACTCAGTCACTATCATTTGTTCAGTCAGTCAGTCACCCAGTCAGTTACTAATACAGTCAGTCAGTCACTCTCACTCACTCAGTCACTATCAATTGTTCAGTCAGTCAGTCACTCAGTCAGTTACTAATACAGTCAGTCAGTCAGTCGCTCAGTCAGTTACTAATACAGTCAGTCAGTCAGTCAGTCATTCAGTCAGTCAGTCATTCAGTCACTCTCACTCACTCAGTCACTATCATTTGTTCAGTCAGTCAGTCACCCAGTCAGTTACTAATACAGTCAGTCAGTCAGTCAGTCAGTCACTCTCACTCACTCAGTCACTATCAATTGTTCAGTCAGTCAGTCACTCAGTCAGTTACTAATACAGTCAGTCAGTCGCTCAGTCAGTTACTAATACAGTCAGTCAGTCAGTCAGTCATTCAGTCACTCTCACTCAGTCACTATCAATTGTTCAGTCAGTCGCTCAGTCAGTTGCACAGTTACTCATTTATTCAGTCGATTAATCACTCAGACATTGTCAGTCATTGAGTCAGTCATTGAGTCACTGTTGGTCAGTCAGTCACTATCAGTTGTTCAATCAGTTACTCAGTAAGTTACTCAGTCACTCATTCAGTCATTCAATCAGACATTCTCACTCACTCAAAGACTGTTGCTCACTCAGTCAGTCAGACAGTCATTCACTCAATCACTTAGTCAGCCATTCACTCACACAGCCAGTCAGTCACTCACTCAGTCACAACAGTCAGTCACTCCTTCAGTCACTCAGTCATTCAGTGATCCAGTTGTTTTTTGTTAGTCAGTTTTGCTCTCTAAACATGTCATTAAAGGAACGTCAAATAAACAAACGTCACTCGCTGACATTACTGAATAATTCATAGTAGATACTGAATAATTCATAGTAGATACTGAATAATTCATAGTAGACTCTGAATAAATCATAGTAGGTACTGATTTATAATGAATATTGAATCATTTATAGTAGGTACTGAATAATTCATAGTAATTACTGAATAATATATCTTAGTTACTGAATATTTTTATTAGATACTGAGACTAAATAATTTGTAGAACTGAATAATATATTTTAAGATTAATAACTGAATAATGTGTCGAGTTTATGGCTCTAAGGATCGACTGTTTTTGGAGTGCTTGAAAATATTTGATATTTATTACATTATTTTTCAGCATGTAAAAGAAAATAAATGGAATATAAAACTACAGTAAACACCACATTTCAGAATCCACCAGAGGGCGCCCTGTGCAAATACTTCGTGTTCTCTAAAGCTCACAGTGTTGATGGTTGAATTTTATCTGATAGTGTGTCTGAAATTGTTGCTAAAATTTGAAATTCTACTGTTTGTTTGTTTGTCTGTTTGTTTGTATTGTGATCAGGCTGAACACAGAGCGCTACCCCAGGCTGGGGGAGTATTACGAGCTGGTGAAGGAGCGCCCCAGCGTTAAAGCCTCATGGCCTCCACACTGGCTGGAGAACCCTCAGAACCAGGACACCATCAAGGACCTGTGAGGAACCTGTGAGGAACCCAACACTCACAGAGCAGGAGCCACCGGTCATCCTACCGTCCAATGAGGAAACATTAAGGCTCACTAATACAGATTTTTGGGCTTTTCATGTATTTTGGGTAATAATAACTACAGACACAATAAGAATTAGTGTGAATTAATGCCATTTAGAGCTAAAACGTAGTTCTCACCCTCAGACGCCATCAGATGAGCTTTAGATGAGGAAACCGACTTTCTGCTCATGTTTGATGTTCACTGATGTACACTGTAAAAAACTGTGCAGCTATTAAACTTAAAGTAAAACCTGATTAACGTGAAATTGAGTTTATTAAACGTCAAATAATAAGTTAACAAATTTAAAACGTTATTACTCTGTTAACTTAATATTACACGTTTAATGAGCTCCAGATGGGAAGTTGAACCTGTTTACCATTTTTTTTAAGTTTAAAGCTGCATAAATTTTTTACAGTGTAGTTTTTCAAAATAATAACTACACCATATTTTTGTACATCAAATACAACAATATCTAATCTAACACCATCTAACGAGCCTCGTATGAGAACTTTAATCTTCCGTTGTTTTTTTATCTTCACTAAAGCACCTTTTTTGGCCTTCTTTGAATTTTTGCTACTAATAACTGCACTAAAAACCAGATTAGACTTTAAACGAGTGTTAATCTGATCCCGACCGTGTGCACTTAAACCCCAGACCCGCTGCCTTTAACCTGAGAGTAATGTGACCTGGTATGTGTGTGTAATCTGTCTTTAGTGATTGTATCTGTTCCAGTTCCTGTCTGTCACTGTGAGCACGTTAATAAAAGTTCTCCCTTTACAGCCGAGCATTTCTCTAAATCTGTGTTATACCTGTATAATGACACACTCACATTCACACACACACACTCACACACACACACTCACACTCACACACACACACACACACTCACACACACACTCACACTCACACACACTCACACACACACACTCACACTCACACACACACACACACTCACACACACACACTCACACTCACACACACACACACACTCACACACACACTCACACACACACTCACACACACACACACACTCACACTCACACACACACACACACTCACACACACACTCACACACACACTCTCACACACACACACAGATACACACACACACACACACACACACTCACATTCACACACACACACACACACACACACACTCACACTCACACACACACTCACACTCACACACACACACACACACTCACACACACACACACTCACACACTCACACACACACTCACACACACACACACACACACACACACACACACACACACTCACACACACACTCACACGCACACACACACACTCACACACACTCACACATACACACACACACACGCGCACACACACACACTCACACACACGCAACACACACACTCACTCACACACACTCACACACACACACTCACACACACACACTCACACACACACACTCACACACACACTCACACACACACACACACACTCACACACACACACTGACACACACACTCACTATGATTCTAAATATTCTATGTCGCTGCTGTCAGAACAAAACCTTGTATCTCCAAAATGGTAACTTTACAGGAGAAGGACAAAATATACTTCACTTCTACTGTAAGTCAATGGAACCAGACGTCTTTCCAAGTCATTTTAGGGTCGTTTCTTTTGGTCCATTCATCATGAAATTTACACACAATGTAAAGGGGACCAAGCATTTTCAAATTATGATAAAAACTGAAAAATTGAGATGCAAGATTTTGTTCCGACAGCAATGATATGGTCTCATAGTGATTTATAGAAACAAACTACTATATATATATATCTATATACCTAACCTATATAAAGGTCGAGTTTCTATGTTGAGCTAAACTGAAAAAAATTCAGGTAAAGAAATCTTCACATGAAACATTGTAATTAAAAAAGTACACAATTCTTAAGGTAAAACATCTTACAATAAAAAATCTTCAGGTAAAAAAATCTAAATACAAAATTCTGCAGTCAGTTCTTTAATAAATTGTAGATAGTAAAAAAATCTAAAAGTAAGAGTTTTCGAGGTCAAATGAAAACAAGTTATTTTAATTACTAATTACTAATTAATCACATTAATTAAGCTGCAGCTTCTTTTAAACCACAAAGGTGTAAAGAGTTTAAAGAGTTTTATTAAGAGAATAAAGAGTTTTATTCATTTTAAAATGATATATTTGTGAAAATGCAGCCCCAGGCAGAGATGAGGGACCCATGACCAGGTCAACTTTATTACGAAAGACAGAAAGACGGAGACAAACAAGTGAAGAATGGAGCAAAACTAACAAGCCCAAAAGTCAAAACACAGGCCGAAAGTCAGAGAGGCCCACCAAGCACTCAAAAACCAGAGGAACAGGTCTAGCAGATCTGTTACAGGACTGAACTTCGCTCCGCAGTGGGCTGAGAACCGAGAGAACCCAGAGGTGTGCGTGATTCGCCTGCAGTCATAAAAACACTCAGGAAATGAGGACCTCTGTTGGCGAACTTGGGTATGACTTGTGACAATATTTATAGTGACATATTTTTAAACTTAATATCACCTGAACTTTATTCACTGTAACATTAAATAATAATAAAAACACATTTCTGACATCAACTTTCTTCACACCATTAAAACAGCAGCCGTTTAACGTTTGGACCTGACTGTGATCTTCGTAACGTTAAACGTTGTTAAAATAAAGGCTTGTCCTGAATGTGTTTCAGCTCTGACTCTGAACCGGTTCAGTAGGGTGATCTTTATACAGAGATCAGCCCTGTGGAGGCTCAGACACGGGGAGGAGATCATCATTACCGGTGAACACTCGCTCCGGGCGCTGCTCAGCGTGTTTTGTCTCACTGGGCAGGGAGGGGGAGGTGGGTCGGTGAAGGCCGTTAAGGGCTCCTGAGGTCAGGAATGCAGTAAGACTCCAGTTCATACCTGCTGACTAGGAGTGGCTGAGACAGTGACACCGGCTCATCACACCAAATGGACCCGTTCATTTTACCATTTGAGACCTCGCTGTAATATCACCGCCAGAGGTTCTCAGTCTGGCAGCGGAACGGCTGGAACGCCGAGGAACAGTCACACACAGAGAATGTGCTCTGTGCAAAAGTCACGGCACCGTTTATATGTGTGTTGTATTTTTACCACCAACCTGTTAAACTCAGCAGATTTAATTAGTGTTTAATATGGAAAACACTGTATTAAAGTTTTTAATCCCCTATTTTCACTGAGAGGACCTGTAATCTGACCAGCCGTGTCCAAACCCTCTCATACGACTGCATAACATTCCCACTTCCTGGATCTGCTTTCCTCCCTAAACGTGTGACACTGCAGAGAAACTTAACTCATAGTAGATACTGAATAATTCATAGTAGACGCTGAATAATTCATAGTAGATACTGAATAATTCATAGTAGACGCTGAATAATTCATAGTAGATACTGAATAATTTATAGTAGACACTGAATAATTCATAGTAGACACTGAATAATTCACAGTAGATACTGAATAATTCGTAGTAGATACTGAATAATTCACAGTAGATACTGAATAATTCATAGTAGATACTGAATAATTCATAGTAGACACTGAATAATTCATAGTAGATACTGAATAATTCATAGTAGATACTGAATAATTCACAGTAGATACTGAATAATTCATAGTAGACACTGAATAATTCATAGTAGACACTGAATAATTCACAGTAGATACTGAATAATTCGTAGTAGATACTGAATAATTCACAGTAGATACTGAATAATTCATAGTAGATACTGAATAATTTATAGTAGACACTGAATAATTCATAGTAGATACTGAATAATTCATAGTAGACACTGAATAATTCATAGTAGATACTGAATAATTTACAGTAGATATTGATTCATTCATAGTAGATACTGAATAATTCATAGTAGACACTGAATAATTCATAGTAGATACTGAATAATTCATAGTAGACACTGAATAATTCATAGTAGACACTGAATAATTCGTAGTAGATACTGAATAATTCACAGTAGATACTGAATAATTCACAGTAGACACTGAATAATTCATAGTAGACACTGAATAATTCATAGTAGATACTGAATAATTCATAGTAGACACTGAATAATTCATAGTAGATACTGAATAATTCATAGTAGATACTGAATAATTTACAGCAGATATTGATTCATTCATAGTAGATACTTAATAATTTATAGGGCCACAAAAGATGAGGCTTTAATATCCAAGGGTTTGACAAGAATCGTGGTCAGTAAACAGGCGTGGGTCAGATCCAAAACAGCAACAAGGTACAAAATGACAACCATAACCAAAGGGCAAAGACAAAAGGGAAAAACCAGAAATCCAGAAAAACAGTCCAAACACAAAAAGGCGATCACAAAAACACAGGAGAAACGCTCAGTAGTTCCACAAGAGAAGCAATACCTCGCAATCTGGCTAAGCTAAAGCCCAGGCTTTTAAACTAAACTAAACAAGTCATGTGACATGGAACACAGGTGAACAGAGTTAGTATTCAGGAGACTGTGAGCGCTGATTAGAGCGTGAGGGAAGGTCAGGGGTCACGTGAGTCAGGTGATCTCTCTGAGGATTCTGGGAGATGGAGTCTGAGTGTGCATCAGAGCCGGGATGTGTGACAAGTAGATACTGAATAATTCATAGTAGCCTCTGAATAATTCACAGTAGATACTGAATAATTCATAGTAGACACTGAATAATTCACAGTAGATACTGAATAATTCATAGTAGTTACTGAATGATTCATAGTAGATACTGAATAATTCACAGTAGATACTGAATAATTCATAGTAGACACTGAATAATTCACAGTAGATACTGAATAATTCATAGTAGTTACTGAATGATTCATAGTAGATACTGAATGATTCATAGTAGACACTGAATAATTCATAGTAGACACTGAATAATTCACAGTAGATACTGAATAATTCATAGTAGTTACTGAATAATTCACAGTAGATACTGAATGATTCATAGTAGACACTGAATAATTCACAGTAGATACTGAATAATTCATAGTAGTTACTGAATGATTCATAGTAAATACTGAATGATTCATAGTAGACACTGAATAATTCATAGTAGACACTGAATAATTCACAGTAGATACTGAATAATTCATAGTAGTTACTGAATAATTCATAGTAGATACTGAATGATTCATAGTAGACACTGAATAATTCATAGTAGACACTGAATAATTCACAGTAGATACTGAATAATTCACAGTAGATACTGAATAATTCGTAGTAGATACTGAATAATTCACAGTAGATACTGAATAATTCGTAGTAGATACTGAATAATTCATAGCAGATACTGAATAATTCACAGTAGATACTGAATAATTCACAGTAGATACTGAATAATTCATAGCAGATACTGAATAATTCATAGTAGTTACTGAATAATTCATAGTAGATACTGAATAATTTGTAGTAGACACTGAATAATTCGTAGTAGATACTGAATAATTCACAGCAGATATTGATTCATTCATAGCAGATACTGAATCATTCAGAGCAACAGGAACAGGAAAATATTTCTGTACTGCAGTATTAGCCAATAAATTGGCAATATTTCCTGACCCTCCTGTTACATATACAAAAATACCTTCATGAATAAATATCAGGTTTGGTCTAATAAACTGTTTGTTAATTATTAGTAATGCTGTTTGATGAACTCAGCTTTTGTACTGTACACAGTCAACAGTGCTAAGTGCATGTTTTCAGGGTATATTTGTCTCTGACTTACCGTGCTTGATTACTCTGAGAAATACGTTGCCTCGAGTCACTGAGTCACTGTGTTCTGAAGTGGTGGAATGAACGAGCTACAGGGTGAATTTACAGTCCAGATCCACCTACAGAGGATTAATAAACCCACCATACACAAACACTTCAACAGCTCTGAGAGCCTAAAGTAAATACGTCCTGAAAGGGCAGTGAGAAACACCCTGACTGGTGGAGCTGATGCAGGAACCAGCGGGTGGTGAAAATGCCAACGTGTCTCTCTGTCCCGTTTACGGTCTGAAGGCCAGCGGGCAGCAAACCTGGGCTGGAGGTGCAGGAGGGTCGTTCACCAAGCACTGGACCCAGTTCTGAAGAACGTCCAGAAAGGACGCTGTAAAGACACTGAAGGCCGTTCTGAAGATACTGATAAGGTGAGTCCATTAACGTCAGTCTGTTCTGTCCAGTCTAACAGAAGAACCCATTCCTGCCAGGAAGAGGAGAACAACAATCAGCAGATTCCAGCAGCAGTACCTCAAAATAGTGACCTGCTATATCAAAATAATGATCTACTGTATCAAAATAATGACATAATATATCAGAATAAAGACCTAATATATCAAAATAAAGACTAACTTTCTGAGAATTTTGACCTACTGTGTCAAAATAATGACTTCTTTTCTTCAAACATCAAATTAGCATCTGAAAATATTGATTTAATTTCTAAAAATGGTAAACTTTCCCAAAGTTCTGAATCTTAAAATAGTGATTTATTTTCTTAAAATATTAACTTAGCATTTGGAAGTAATGACTAACTTTCTTGAAACATTGACTTAGTATCTTGAAATTGACATGTTTTCTTGAAATATTGACTTAATATATAAATATAAAAAAATAATTACTAACTTTCTCTAAATATTGACTTAGTGTCTAAAAATCATGATGATCATTCTCAAAAATGTCTCAATGTTTCAAAACTATTTATTCTCTGAGAATACTCACTTAATATCTCTACATAATGACTTATTTTCTCAAAATACTGATTTAATACACTACCACTTAAAAGTTTGGGGTCACTCAGTTCATCTCATAAAACCAGTTTCTTTGAAGATGTGTATACAAAATGGTTCTACAATGAAACTAATTTCGAACAGTCTGTACGAAGCAGCTTTGAGAATGAACTGATAAACAAACTGAAACCCACAATGCCTCATATTTGAAAACTATATATATTTGAAGATATTCAGGGTTTTTTCATGATGAAAAATTCCAATAATTAGAAAATTATAGCTTATTATTCATGAACACTTCTCAGTTCTAACTTTACGTTTCCAAATTGCTGTAAACTGTGAATTAAGTGTTGGTTTAAGTTTTGGTGTTTAGCTTACAGCATTGTAATCTACACTGTATGAGTTATTACTGAATAACAGATATTATTATGACAAGTGACCCCAAACTTTTGAGCAGTAATTTATCTCTAAATAATAACTTCTGTTCTTAAATGACTGACTTAGTATCTCAAAATAATCATAAACTCATAATAATTTTTGGAGCGTAAAACCTTTTCTGCTGAACTTCTGGCTCATCTAGTGTGATTGGAATTGAAAGGGTCAGTTTGACCAGAACAGAAGATCTAAATAAGAATAAATAAAATGTGTTGAATGTCTAGTTTTTGCTGATGTACAGAAATAATGAGATTTTTAAATGAAAAATTGAGTGAATTACTTTAAGTAAAACATGATTACACTAAATATTGATTAAATAATATTAATTGAGCTGAAGATCATATTTTTGGAGAAAAAAATATAAATGTATCCACTTTTGGACAGTTAAACATGCATCAGGAACATTATTGCTGTTTTTTACAGGTTCACATAACAGTAGGATTAAAAATATTGACGTAGCATCTCAAAATAATGATGTATTATCTAAAGATTTTAAAAATACTGTGTAAAAATAATGAGATGAGATTTTGACCAGCATTCCATAAAGCTTGTCCAGCCTCGGTTTGACCAGCAGTAGCCATGAAAGAACATGGACAGGTCAGTTATCCTCTTAGAGTGTCAATGTTTATGCACTGAACTCTTTATATCAAATAAGCACTTCAGACTTCATGATTGGCCCATTGTGAACTCAGAATTATGAAGTAATTCCTCCGTCATTGTTTCTTTCTCTGAGGAACACAGAAAGATGACCAGAGCTCCACTGAGGCCACCTCAGCACATCCCTGCAGCCCTGGTGGTGCTGCTGTTTTTCGGAGGTTTACTTCTCGTGTACTTGACTCCGAGACTGAGCTGGTCACTTCATACTGCAGCTCCGACAGATGATGTTCAGTCTAAAAACCCTGGACAGTCTGCAAACAGCAGCAACCCTGCCAACAACACCTGGATGAAGAGGAACGCTGAAAGAGCCCAAGCTGTAACATCAACTAACGTGGACAGTGCAAATAAAAAAGATGAGCCGGCCACCATCGTGCTAATCTGGGCGTGGCCTTTTGGGCGCCCGTTTGAGCTGAGATCTTGCAGCTCACTGTACAACATTACAGGCTGCAGGTTAACGTACGACAGAAGCCAGTACCCTAAAGCCCACGGTGTGATGTTCCACCACAGAGAAATACGCAGTAACTTGGCAAACCTACTGAAAATGCCGCGGCCTCCACGGCAGAAATGGGTGTGGATGAACATGGAGTCTCCAGCCAACTCGCTGAGGCTGTCTGGTCCAGACAGTCTGTTCAACCTAACAGCGAACTATCGCAGGGATTCAGACGTCTGGGTGCCGTACGGGTGGGTTGTAGAGACGTCCGATGACGACAAAGCCTTCAAAATACCAAAAAAGGATAAACTAGTCTGCTGGATCGTCAACAACTGGGACGACAGCTTCTGGCGAGTGAAATACTTCAACGAACTAAGCAACCACATCAAAGTGGACACTTTTGGTGGACACTTCGGCACATATCTCAGCTACCAGGATTATTTTAAAACCGTCTCCAGTTGCAAGTTCTACTTAGCGTTTGAGAACTCCATCCATAAAGACTACATCACAGAAAAGCTCTTCAACCCAATGATATCCGGCACGGTTCCCGTGGTTCTTGGTCCCCCCAGGGTGAACTATGAGGAGTTCATACCAGCAGATTCCTTCATCCATGTGAACGATTTCAAATCTGCTCAAGAACTGGCAGAACATCTCAAATATCTGGACCAGAACCAGGAGATGTATGAGCAGTACTTCACCTGGAGGAAGCACTTCATTGCTAAGCGTTCTGACTTTGGTCTGGAGCACGCTTGCCGCATTTGTGCCCATATAAAACAACACAAGGGCTACAGAGTGTTTAAACATCTTAATACATGGTACTGGGGCTAGCTAGCTAGCACACATACCATCACATACCTCAGCAGATGTTCGTCCTTCAAAAAAGACCTTCAAGACGTTGGAGTGAGAGACTCACCAAAGACAACTGTTGTTAACCTTGAAAGTCAGTATGTATAACATTATAACTGTTATGACAGATTTTGTTCAGTGATGTAACAGTGACATATCACCATTATAACTGTTATGACGGATTTTGTTCAGTGATGTAACAGTGACATGTCACCATTATAACTGTTATGACGGATTTTGTTCAGTGATGTAACAGTGACATGTCACCATTATAACTGTTATGACAGATTTTGTTCAGTGATGTAACAATGACATGTCACCATTATAACTGTTATGACGGATTTTGTTTAGTGATGTAACAGTAACATGTCACCATTATAACTGTTATGACGGATTTTGTTCAGTGATGTAACAGTGACATGTCACCATTATAACTGTTATGACAGATTTTGTTTAGTGATATAACAGCGTCATGTTACCATTATAACTGATATGACGGATTTTGTTCAGTGACGTAACGGCATCATGTGACCATTATAACTGTTATGACAGATTGTGTTCAGTGATATAATAGTGACATATTATTGTTGTAATAGTTATGACAAATTTAGTTTAGTGATATAAGAGTGACATGTTACCATTATAATGGTTATGACAAATTTAGTTTAGTGATATAAGAGTGACATGTTACCATTATAATGGTTATGACAAATTTAGTTTAGTGATATAAGAGTGACATGTTACCATTATAACTGTTATAGCAGATTTTGTTCAGTGATATAATAATGACATGTTGTTATTATTGTTATGACAAATTTTGTTTAGTGGTATAACAGTGACATGTCACCATTATAACTGTTATGACGGATTTTGTTCTGTAATGTAACAGTGACGTTATCATTATGACGGATTTTGTTCAGTGATGTAACAGCGCCATGTCACCATTAAAACTGTTATGACGGATTTTGTTCAGTAATGTAACAGTGACATGTCACCATTATAACCATTAGGACGGATTTTGTTCAGTGATGTAACAGCGCCATGTCACCATTATAACTGTTCTGACGGATTTTGTTCAGTGATGTAACAGTGCCATGTCACCATTATAACTGTTATGACAGATTTTGTTTAGTGATATAACAGCGTCATGTTACCATTATAACTGATATGACGGATTTTGTTCAGTGACGTAACAGCGTCATGTGACCATTATAACTGGTATGACAGATTGTGTTCAGTGATATAATAGTGACATATTATTGTTGTAATAGAAATGACAAATTTAGTTTAGTGATATAAGAGTGACATGTTACCATTATAACTGTTATGACAAATTTAGTTTAGTGATATAAGAGTGACATGTTACCATTATAACTGTTATGGCAGATTTTGTTCAGTGATATAATAATGACATGTTGTTATTATTGTTATGACAAATTTTGTTTAGTGATATAACAGTGACATGTCACCATTATAACTGTTATGACGGATTTTGTTCAGTAATGTAACAGTGACATGTCACCATTATAACCATTAGGACGGATTTTGTTCAGTGATGTAACAGCGCCATGTCACCATTATAACTGTTATGACGGATTTTGTTCAGTGATGTAACAGTGACATGTTACCATTATAACTGTTATGACAGATTTTGTTCAGTTATGTAACAGTGACGTTACCATTATGACAGATTTTGTTCAGTAATGTAACAGTGCCATGTCACCATTATAACTGTTATGACAGATTTTGTTCAGTTATGTAACAGTGACATGTTACCATTATGACAGATTTTGTTCAGTAATGTAACAGTGCCATGTCACCATTATAACTGTTATGACGAATTTTCTTCAGTGATGTAACAGCGCCATGTTACCATTATAACTGTTATGACAGATTTTGTTCAGTTATGTAACAGTGACATGTTACCATTATGACAGATTTTGTTCAGTAATGTAACAGTGCCATGTCACCATTATAACTGTTATGATGAATTTTCTTCAGTGATGTAACAGCGCCATGTCACCATTATAACTGTTATGACAGATTTTGTTCAGTGATGTAACAGTGCCATGTCACCATTATAACTGTTATGACAGATTTTGTTCAGTGATGTAAAAGCACTATGTTACCATTATAACTGTTATGACAGATTTTGTTCAGTGATGTAACAGTGCCAGGTTACCATTATAACTGTTATGACGGATTTTGTTCAGTGATGTAAGAGCGACATGTTACCATTATAACCATTATAATGGATTTTGTTCAGTGATGTAACAGTGACATGTTACTATTATAATGGTTATGATGGATTTTGTTCAGTGATGTAACAGTGACATGTCACCATTATAACTGTTATGACAGATTTTGTTCAGTGATGTAACAGTGACATGTCACCATTATAACTGTTATGACGGATTTTGTTCAGTGATGTAACAGTGACATGTCACTATTATAACCATTAGGACGGATTTTGTTTAGTGATGTAACAGTGACATGTTACTATTATAATGGTTATGATGGATTTTGTTCAGTGATGTAACAGTAACATGTCACTATTATAACTGTTATGACAGATTTTGTTCAGTGATGTAACAGTGACATGTTACTATTATAATGGTTATGATGGATTTTGTTCAGTGATGTAACAGTGCCATGTCACCATTATAACTGTTATGACAGATTTTGTTTAGTGATATAACAGCGTCATGTTACCATTATAACTGATATGACGGATTTTGTTCAGTGACGTAACAGCGTCATGTGACCATTATAACTGGTATGACAGATTGTGTTCAGTGATATAATAGTGACATATTATTGTTGTAATAGAAATGACAAATTTAGTTTAGTGATATAAGAGTGACATGTTACCATTATAACTGTTATGACAAATTTAGTTTAGTGATATAAGAGTGACATGTTACAATTATAACTGTTATGGCAGATTTTGTTCAGTGATATAATAATGACATGTTGTTATTATTGTTATGACAAATTTTGTTTAGTGATATAACAGTGACATGTCACCATTATAACTGTTATGACGGATTTTGTTCAGTAATGTAACAGTGACATGTCACCATTATAACCATTAGGACGGATTTTGTTCAGTGATGTAACAGCGCCATGTCACCATTATAACTGTTATGACGGATTTTGTTCAGTGATGTAACAGTGACATGTTACCATTATAACTGTTATGACAGATTTTGTTCAGTTATGTAACAGTGACGTTACCATTATGACAGATTTTGTTCAGTAATGTAACAGTGCCATGTCACCATTATAACTGTTATGACAGATTTTGTTCAGTTATGTAACAGTGACATGTTACCATTATGACAGATTTTGTTCAGTAATGTAACAGTGCCATGTCACCATTATAACTGTTATGACGAATTTTCTTCAGTGATGTAACAGCGCCATGTTACCATTATAACTGTTATGACAGATTTTGTTCAGTTATGTAACAGTGACATGTTACCATTATGACAGATTTTGTTCAGTAATGTAACAGTGCCATGTCACCATTATAACTGTTATGACGAATTTTCTTCAGTGATGTAACAGCGCCATGTCACCATTATAACTGTTATGACAGATTTTGTTCAGTGATGTAACAGTGCCATGTCACCATTATAACTGTTATGACAGATTTTGTTCAGTGATGTAAAAGCACTATGTTACCATTATAACTGTTATGACAGATTTTGTTCAGTGATGTAACAGTGACATGTCACTATTGTAACTTATGACAGATTTTGTTTAGTGATGTAACAGTGACATGTCACCATTATAACTGTTATGACAGATTTTGTTCAGTGATGTAACAGTGACATGTCACTATTATAACTGTTATGACAGATTTTGTTTAGTGATGTAACAGTGACATGTCACCATTGTAACTGTTATGACAGATTTTGTTTAGTGATGTAACAGTGACATGTCAGCATTATAACTGTTATGATGGATTTTGCTCAGTGATGTAACAGTGACATGTTACTATTATAACGGTTATGATGGATTTTGTTCAGTGATGTAACAGTGACATGTCACTATTATAACTGTTATGACAGATTTTGTTCAGTGATGTAACAGTGACATGTTACCATTATAACTGTTATGACGGATTTTGTTTAGTGATGTAACAGTGACATGTCACCATTGTAACTGTTATGATGGATTTTGTTTAGTGATGTAACAGTGACATGTTACTATTATAATGGTTAAGATGGATTTTGTTCAGTGATTTAACAGCGACACATGTAAGTGTTATGGCAGATTGTTATGACAGTCATAATATTTGATGTCATGAAGGCTGATTAGAGCACACAGTAAAAATTATGTCATATAACATCAAATATTGACATCAGTCATGGCAATTACTGGTGATGATAACATGTTGCTATTATATTACTGAATACAATCTGTCGTAACATCTGCTATGACATGTTTCCAGCATGGTGACGTCACTGTTATGCATCAGAGTTCATGTGAGGTGAAATCCGTCTTTTGTCTGGAAAGGAAGGAAGATCTGACACTGTTATGATCTGTTTTCGGTTAAATGAGAAATTTAATCCTAAAATAAATACAGACTGAAATGTAAACAGCTCTGCTGAGGCTGAATGGCTCCAGGTGGGCGGGGCCGACGGGTTCAGCCTGGTTTACTATTATAACTGTTATGACAGATTTTGTTCAGTAATGTAACAGTGACATGTCACCATAAGTGAATAAGTAAGTGAATAAGTGAATAGGTAAGTGAATAATTGAATAAGTAAGTGAATAAGTGAATAAGTAAGTGAATTGGTGAATAGCCAAGTGAATAAGTGAATAGGTAAGTGAATATGTGAATAAGTAAGTGAATTGGTGAATATGTAAGTGAATAAGTGAATAGGCAAGTGAATAAGTGAATAGGTAAGTGAATAAGTGAATAAATAAGTGAATATGTGAATAAGTAAGTGAATAAGTGAATAAGTAAGTGAATATGTGAATAAGTGAATAGGTAGGTGAATAAGTGAATGGGTAAGTGAATAAATGAATAGGTAAGTGAATAAGTGAATAGGTAAGTGAATAAGTGAATAAGTGAATAAATAAGTGAATATGTGAATAAGTAAGTGAATAAGTGAATATGTAAGTGAATATGTGAATAAGTGAATAGGTAGGTGAATAAGTGAATGGGTAAGTGAATAAATGAATAGGTAAGTGAATAAGTGAATAGGTAAGTGAATAAGTGAATAGGCAAGTGAATAAGTGAATAAGTGAATAAGTGAATAGGCAAGTGAATAAGTGAATAAGTGAATAGGTAAGTGAATAAGTAAATAAATAAGTGAATAAGTAAGTGAATATGTGAATAAGTAAGTGAATATCTGAATAAGTAAGTGAATTGGTGAATATGTAAGTGAATAAGTGAATAGGCAAGTGAATAAGTGAATAGGTAAGTGAATAAGTGAATAAGTAAGTGAATAT